TTGAGCACCCAATGAGCATATTAGAACACTTTCTGATTTCTGAAGGATTATGTGACACTGAAGACTGGAGTAATGTTAAAATAATAATTACAATATATTAAAATAGAAAACAGTTATTTTAAATTGTAATACTTTTTCACTGTATTATTGTTTTTTACTACATTTTTGATCATGGGACCAGATTTAGTAGCAGCCTATGCCAGCACAAAACCTCTTTCGCCGTTAAAAAACTACTATCAGGATTTACTAAAGACACGTGGTGAAAAATTAGCGCTGAAAAGGCGTGGACATAGTTATTTTTGCGGCTGACATTATTGCATATGCATTTGTAGGAGTTTCCCTTCAGATGCAAAATTTATGGAAGTAAAATATTTCAATGAATCACGCTAGGTGTAGGATTCCAATAGGATTCAGAAGGTAGAACAAATCATAACGAGCTGTAAGTGACTTTTTTTTGTGAAATAACACACAGAAGATGTCCCTACTACCTGACAGACACCACCGAAGTCAATCTGTCAGGTAGTAAGAACATTTCAGGTAGTTGTCTCTGTCAGTCCTAGACGCAATAAGCCACAAAAAAGAGCACAGAGTGCTATCATTTATCCAGAAGAGTTTGAGGTGTTCTCTGCCTGCTTTTCAGTCATTTCTGTGTCGGCCAGACTCTAACGGACACATGGAAGGAGTTACTTGCGTTTTTCCCCCTCAAATTGGACACAGAGGGACACTCGATCTTCAAATATCCGGTGTAAGAGATGTAAGATATTCTCTGTCTCTCTCTTAGGTCTTGTTTAGCACTTAGGCCGTGGTTTTAGCGCTCTCAGTCTCACAAAAGAAAAAAGAAAGTATAAAAGTTATCACCCTCAACAGTGAAAAGAACAATAATGTTGAGTTAAACTACGATTAAAACGCAAAGTGTTTATTTTTCTCACAAAAGTCCTAGTGTGTTTGGGTTCCCCTTATTGGAAAGAAAAATCACTCTGTTCCCTCGTTGCATTTTTTACCCAGACAGCATCTCCTTGGTAACGCGTCTGGAGAGGCTGGGCTGTGTGGTTGCAGAGCCTCACATTGATGGATGGTGCAGAAGATCACCTATTTGTACAGTGGCGGCAGGGGAAGTTGGCACAGTCTGGCATATCATTCCTCATAAGCCCTGCCAGGCGCGATCCCTCTGTGCCACACGCAGAGCCAGACTGCTGGCAGTGACTGGCGTAAGGCCGCGGTGATGTTGGCACTCTGTGATGAATAGGCAGCCACATCTATGCCCGACTGACTTGATCATCTTATAGAGGAAGTGTGAATGAACTATTGGATTAGGACTCTGTGATTGTTAAAAGGAGAAGCTTGACTAGTGTTGATCTTCGAGTTAAGCTGATGAAAGGCCCTGCGTACTATTACAACACTGGTTCCAATATGATGTCCATGCCATGTCCATTTAGTTAAACGAAACTGATTGTCTTAAGCCCAGAGAAATCATTATGTTCTGCAAGTTTGTGTTCTGCAAAATCTCACGAGTTGCCTATGAGGCAGCGTCTTTAGTCATCATAGGCACTTTCTTGAAGTTAAAGGGATAGTTCACTTTGAAATACATTTTTGATATGTTTCAGCTTACCTCAAGGGCATCCAAGATGTAGGTGTCTTTGTTTCTGCAGTAATTTCAATTTTTATATTTTTAGGTCAAACCGTTCTTGTCTGTCAGTCATATAATGCAGGTCTATGGTCACCACCTCAAAGAGCATGCACAGAGAAGTCCAAATTAAACATGATTTAATGACTCGTAAATGTAAGTACACATTGATGGCCTAAGACACGAAACGAGCGGTTTGTGTGAGAAAACGAACAGTTTTTATATCGTTTTTACCTCTTGTAACCACAGCCACGTCCAAGTGATCTGAGGGGGCGGGCGCTTCGGTCTGCGCGTTACTAGAGGTAAAAACGATATAAATACTGTTCGTTTTCTCACACAAACCGCTCGTTTCGTGTCATAGGCCATCAATGTGTACTTACATTTACGAGTCATTAAATCATGTTTAATTTGGACTTCTCTGTGCATGTTCTTTGAGGTGGTGACCATAGACCTGCATTATATGACTGACAGACAAGAACGGTTTGACCTAAAATTATCAAAATTGAAACTACTGCGGAAACAAAGACACCTACATCTTGGATGCCCTTGAGGTAAGCTAAAACATATAAAAAATTAATTTCAAAGTGAACTATCCCTTTAAGAGATCTTTTTTTTTATCCAAAATATCTTCTTTTAGCCAAATTCTAACAGAGTATCCCATTTATCTTCAGCAGCGAAGACATTCGCATACTGCAATGCTAAATTCCTCCCGAATAACTACTAAGAACTTCTATATACAGGTTCATTATTAATGTGAATAATACATAATGTATAATAATTAACTCTAAAGTGAAGATCATGTTAACCCAATAGTAATGACTCAAGTCTTACCAAATCTTTCAGAAAGAAGATTTTCACATTTTTAGGATCCATATACCAAAGTGAAAAGCATGATAACTCCATGAAATTGACTGAAGTCATTGTAAACTTTTAAGATTTTTGTAAGGTTTTGGATAGTAATGACTTAAGTGTTGCTACATCCGTCTAAAGGAATTACTAATTATTTGAACCAGTATTCTACTGTGAAGAAAATGGTAATGACTCAAGTGTTACCAAATCCATCAGAAGGAACCGTGTGTGTGTGTGTGTGTGTACAGAACCAACTAGTCAAACACTCATTCAAATGAAACCAGCTGTCATCGCTGCAAAGAGAAACGCTTAACTGAACCCAGCGCCAGTGCTGGCATATAGACTGGCAGTGTGTGTGTGTGTGTGCGCGCTCTCCTACCCCTCCAGCTGTGTGTCCTTTGATACAGGTAACTTGCCTGCCAATCTGTGCCAACTGAGAAACTGAGTTTAGGCTGATAATGTGCCCCATTTTTCCAGATTTATCACAAATATGTTCCTTCAGGTTTCATGTTTATGTTGTAAGGGTTTAACAAATGTAAATATTAAATGTAAATCTCAAATGTACATGAAAGTATTAAACATAAACATAGAATATGAATATAAATATAAAATCAGAATAATACATCTAAATCTATAACTTAATGTGTAACAGTTAAGCACATGTTCAAAAAGGTTCAAGGTAAGCACAACAGGAAATGTCATAGCCTGTGTAGGATGCTTTGAATGTTGTCTTTGAGAATGATGAACCTTTGAGTAAGAAGTTAGATGAACTGGTGCAACTAGCTTTAGCAGCAACATCTGGTGTATGATGCTTGCATGTAAACACACACTATTATCTGCTTTAGTGTTTAGTTTTATTTTGTATGGTCAGTGTTTTTATGATATGATAGTATAATTGGTGCTGACTGAGCCTACGTATGTAGTCTTCAATTGTGGACTCTCTTCCCCAAGGTGTTCTTATCTGATGTACACACTAAGGTTCAGTGAAGCTGGAGCGAAATCATCTGTAGAGAGAGAACAACAGCTTTCCGGCCCTCCATCAACCGGTTGGGCCGTCTGAGGACCCCTGCTGAGTTCTGCCATTGCATTTATTTGTTTTTTTTCTGATTCTTGCCTCTAGGAGAGCTCAAGACATTTGCGTTCAGCCCTCCCAGCACGTCAGACGCAGAGAACGCTAAAATTAATTTATCCATTGAGCGACAGGTTTCTCAATGCCCTGTAGAGATTCACAATAACACCTTCTCCAATCATCCATGGAGTACAGTTTAATCAAGCTTTTGTTAGGCTATTATCAGTTTCAGATGGCCCGTGGTTATATGAATATGTCTCATCTGTTCTACTGCCACACAGCTAATCTCCTGTTGCCGTGAAAGAGAAATCCATTGCAGTAAATAATGCAAATCTGTTATAAGCTCTCCAGTGTTTTTGTCCACGCAAGTGAGGATTACTCCAGACACGTTAAGATCATAATGTTCACTGTCGTCTGGTGTGCCCAAACAGAGACGTCTCACCCGTGAACGCACGGGGAGGGGACCAACAGATTGATTCCTCTCCATCCGGTGATCCGTGTGAAACAGTATGATGCATATTAGGGCAAAGGATTGAGAAGTGTCTCCCTGCAGATGAAATATGAAATTAGAAATCTGTTAGCGCTGCTGTCCAGAATGTCAGAGCTCCAAATCCAGGATGGATCTGATTTTGATATTGTCGGGGAATGTAATAATTTCCTTCCCTCTGTTTTTGTCTGCTGGGAGTAGACATCTCTCAAAGGAGCGGAAGGAAGTGGGGGGGGGGGGGGGGATACAATGAAGAGGGGGACAAATAAAATTAAAACAGATTAGGGTTATTAATAATAGCAGCAAGAGTCAAATTTGTCTGGCCTCTTTGTTAAAAGGATAGTTAATCTCAAAATAAAATAAAAATATGCCGTTATTTATTCACCCAAATGTCATTCCAAACCTGTATGAGTTACAGTACTTTCTTCTTTGGATCATCAAAGGAGACATTTTGAAAAAATATTTTACAATGAATTGGGACTGAAGCTTTCAATCTCCAAAAAGGATGCAAGCACACCATAAAAATATCATAAAATACGTCTATTTGACTCATAAGTTGTTCTATATCAAACAATAGCTTTGTGTGATACACAGACAGGGAAGGATTTACCTCATATTGCGACATAGGTAAAAGACAAAAGGTTTGGAATGACATTAGAGTGAGTAAATAATGACAGAATTTCATTTTTGAGTGCACTGTCCCTTTAAAGCACCAGTCTGACTGTGGATTCCAGGCTGACTAACCAGGCCAGTCAAAAACACCAGAGGGTCAAAAAGTGACATTGTGTGAAGAAATCAAATTATTTTATACATTATCTTTGTTCTTGGGAGAGCCTAACCTTGCTATATTCCACGTGAAGTAAGATAGTGATGAGGTCACCTTCACTGGAACGATTCGCTCAGAGGTGTCCGCTGACATAATTCATTACAGACTGATTGGTGTTTTATTGTTGCTGTCTGTGTTTTAACAGAAATTCTGAATGGAGGGGTGTACGTGGACCAGAACAAGTTCCTGTGTCATGCCGATACCATCCACTGGCAGGATATAGTGAAGAACGCCCGCTCTGATCACCTGGTTGTGCCGTCTAATAGCAGCAGCTCCTGTGAGTACTGACCAATTAGAGCATGAGGTGCAAAAATTAATTGTTACTAAACCACTGTTCAAAAGTTTGGGGTCAGTGTGATTTTTGAAAGAATACTTTTTTAATGAACATTTTTAAAATGTAATTTATTTCTGTGATGGCAAAGCAGCCATTACTCCAGTCTTCAGTGTCACATGATCCGTTTTGGAACAGAAATATTTTGGAATATTATAAATGTATTTTCTGTCAATTGCTGAATGAAATAATTAATTTCTTTTAAAAAAATCATATTGGCCCCACACTTTTGAATGATAGTGTACTACTTTTCTTTCTATTCATCAAAGAATCCTGAAGAAAAAATTTTTACACACTGACACACTTTTTGGAAACCATGTTAGTATTGTTTTCCATTTCCATTTGATGTATACTGTAGTTGTCAGGGTTATGTCTATGTCTGTGTTTTGGTTTTGTTTTCCCTGCTCCCATTTTGCCTGTGTTCCTTGGTCATTAGCTTTCAATTAATCCGGTACCTGTTTCTGTGTATTCAAGCTCTTAGTTTCCTCAGTTCTTTGGCTACGTTCAGACCGCCTATCCAAATCCGTTTTTTGTGCGTATCTGATTGAAATCCGATCAGATTTAGCAAGTGTGAACGGCAGAAAAAATCACATGAAATGCGATTTTTACAAATCCGTCTCGAGCTACATTCATATGTGTTTTGAAATCCTATTCAAAAAGCATTTCTGGAAATCCTTTTCAGTCTGCTTGCTCTGATCAGATTTTGCGTGGTTAATGTGACTTTCTCACGCCACAAAAAAACAAAAAAGTAAGCGTCAGACTTTGCTATAGGAAACATGCTGAAAGTCCCTGCAGAAACAAGGTTGTGTTGTTGCAAAATGCCAGACGAGCAGAAAATGACAATAATGGAGACGTGTTTTGTATTGCAAATCCCTCCATGTTGTGGTTGTTGTTGTTGTTGTTTTTGGCGTATACCTACCAACGCAACGTCATTGCCATAGAAACCAATGCAGATATTCCGGAAAACAAAAGAGCAGCATGGGACACACAAATCGGATCTGAACAGTTGCGATACACAACATGGACAACCAATCATTTAGATCAGATTCCAATTGACCTATGGCTAAGCCACGCCCCCTCCACTCACTGGGACAAACAGTCAACATTCTGTGACAGGCGCTATGGCAGCTGTCACAGGAGGAGACATTTCACGGGAGGCAATTGATGATTTTTGGAGACAGAAAGATTATATATCATCTCCAAGTCACCAAAAGGGCATTAACTATGCATTGGAGGGTTATATGAATGATTGTATTGTTGAGAAGGTCGATAATAAGCTTCAGCTCCAGGCAAAAATGTACAGGTCACAGTGTAAACGTGATAAACCGCATCTCGTTGCCATCACCATCTCAGACAACAAGATAGAGGATCAGCATTGTTCATGCACTGCAGTAGCTATTTACATGAATCTTTCAGCACAACATTGCTAACATTTGTTATCTCGGTTATTTACATACGTTTATATACGTAATGAAGCTAAGTGACATGATGTACAACGCAGCTAGAAGTTAACGTTACGTTAGAGATGTTAAAGATAATGTTCAAATCTGGTTCAAATATGTTGTTGACTTAGAACAGATGTAGACATCCTTGTTAAATTCTTGTTTAATCTATCCACGTTTATTTGGTGTTGTGGTCTAACGTAACCGCATAACTTTATCCAGAGCAGACACTTATCTCGGTTGAGATGTTTGGGAAAGGGTCAAAAATACACACCGTCGCCCAGCCTCTCGGGAGACCGAGTGTCGGAGTTGCATGTACCCCATGCACACCGTTTGACCATTTTAAACTTAAAATGACAAGAAGAAACATATAAAAACAAATGAAAACTGACTAACTGCAATGCATTTCAATGGATGTGGAAGCAGAGAATGTCCGAGTGTATTGGGTAAAGCCTGGCTCACACGACAGGAGTTTTAAAATCCTAACCGATTTTGAAATCTGGTTGCAGCACACACTTGAGGAGAATCTTTGCAGATTTTCTCACCTCAAATCTTAAACATGCCCACACTACAAGATTTGAAAATCGCGGCGCATCACACACTACACAATGTTATTAAGATTCGTGCCAGAGGAAGCGCCTCACGTGATCTTACGCAACAGATCGGAAGCAGAAAGGTGGATGTAAACAAAATATCTGTCCTTCATATCAAGTCGTGAAATTCGTGAAAAGGTTGCCGTGACCAAGGAAAGCGAAAAATTTAATAAGGAGATTTCTAATGAATGGCGTCAGCTCTGTTCAATAGGCTACAATGAATCAATGCCATTGATCTCTATAAGGTAAAGCATCAGCAGCGTTGCCCATTGCTGCTCAGCTGAGCATTGTAAAGTGGAGCTCAAAGTTAAAATTAAATATTAAAATAATTAACAGCTTGTTTCGTTTAATCTATCTTTAAATGAATATAACTAGTTGAAGATAAATTCTTTACAATTGGGCAATTCCAGCGTTATGGACGTGACATTTGCAGTCAAAACTTGAAATATAAAAAATGGCCCTGGTAAAAATGGCTTCACCGGTCTGGCAATTCTACAACAGGGCTCTCAAGTGTCAAGCATTGAGCGTGACAGTCACTCATTTCGGTCTTTTGTCACGCTCTCCCGCCACACATTGTATTTCTCACGCTGAAAAACTATTTGTAATATATTTAATATGCCGCAGCGGCCAAAACTATTGTATCTGGGTAAGATTTAACGCAACAACCCCCCCCCCCCGTGCGTCCGTCAAATCACTCGTACATATTTTTTTCTCTCATCAAAACTGAATATGTTCATCAGCGGTTACAATTATATCAAGCAAGGATACGTTTGTGTTTTATTTTGTGATTACACCGGAATGAATAAGAGTCCGCAACGGCGATAGATTGAAGCGCGCGTCCGAGTGAAGCCTGCGCGAGGCACAGAGCACTGTATCCATGCAACTGATCGCCGCGGCAACGAACGTGCAGCTTGAGTTCAAAAACACATTTTAGCGCTAGATTTCTTATTTAATAGCGAACTAAATGAATGATCTGCTAGTTAACTGAAGATGTTTTATTTATTTATATTAGCCACATGGTGGGACAGACTTCACTGGATCTAAAAAAAATCAATCTAACCATAGATGTGACTAGAGGTGGCTTTCATAATCTGTTTAAAATAATTTTGCAAGGGTTCTTCACACACACACACACACACACACACACAAAAAGGTTTCTCTACCTCTCTCTTCCTCTCTAAATGCCCACAAAATCTGACTAAGCATCCCAGAAAAAAGCAAAGTTATAGATACAGATATGGAAGTTGTTAGTTTTTTTTTTTTTTTTTTTTGTTGCTGTGCACTTTACTACCTGTGGTCCTTTAAGTGTATTAGAAAAACTGATGGCTGACTGACTCAAAACATTATTTTGGCTATAGCCTTTTTTGTTGCTGTTTTTAGTTTAAAGTAGTCTAAAGCTAAATTTAAAGACTCAGATGTTCTGTCTTTTATTCATTTTATTTTATATTCTACAGGAAAGTTGTATGTCAAGCCCTAAGCTGCTCCCAATAACCAAGCTGCTATGTTAATACATGTTGCTTGCAAATAAATACACAGGTGTCAATTCATTATGCATTGTCTTCTCTTAAATGTAATACTTAATGTACATTGTTGTTAAATATAGTTTAATAAGTAATGCTACATGATAAAAAGAAGTCTTCAAATAGACCCTGTAATCGGTTATCGGTATCGGGTGATACAGCTTCCAGTAATCGGCGATCGGTGATCGGCCCCAAAAATCCTGATCGGAGCACCCCTAGTGTAGGCAGTTAAGGAGAAGCATAGAATGATCTTGATGGTCAATGTAAACATTAAAATGAACCAAATGAGACCTTGAGCGCGTCTCTCACCCTCACTTCATTTTCAAACCTGAATGACATTCTCTTTCTAGTGGAAACAGCAAGAGATGTTTTATTATTGTGAAATGTGAAATGGTCACAGTGACCATTACCATAAAAGTGGCCTCTATACCTCACACGAAACTAACGTACATGCATTCAGAAGACTTGGATTATAATCTACAAGTTGTATAGACTACATTTATGCTGATCTTATGTCCTCTTTGGAGCTCTACAGTGTGAAACAGTGTGAATACTTTTCGCAACTGTCTCGATAAATTCGGGTTTGTAAAATCTTTGAAGTGACTCCCATGAGCGCTGAATTGTGACGAATTTTACTCCAGTTACTCTGTTACTCCGATATGACTGTTCAGCATCTGACCTGTATTAGGACCACATATGGAAGTGACACAAATCAGAATCAAAAAGATCAGATTCCATGTGGTTTGTGCCGTTCACACTGTCATGACTAAAACATGTCCGAGTCACATATGAGCAAAACATTTTTTATTTGGGCCACATTTATCTGCAGTCTGGTGGTGAGTAAATGAAGACAGAATTTTCCTTTAGACTGAGCGATTAGAAAGTGGGCCTTTCTCACCATATCTCACAAAAGTTTGCCGTGAACAACAGAGAAATCAAGTACTTAGGCAAAGGAGGAGCCGGGAGAGAGTGTAAAAAAAAAGGTTAGGTTTAAAAAGGGGAGATAGTCAAAAGTGTCTGCCCCATGTAGTTGAAGAGAGTAAGCCACTAGTGTAATTACTCTTAACTGAAGTGGAACAAGGACAGAGGACAACACTCCATCAGTCAGCCATGCTCACACTGCAATTACCCAACAGTCAATTAAGCTTGGGTGGCAGAACAGCCACTGCAGATGAGTGTAGCAAACTATACGGGCCGGGGAGGATTCAGGCACAGCTCCGGAGAGTCAGGCAGAACATTGTTCTGTCAGTCAGCGGTGACTCTTCCCCCACTTCATCAGAATAGGGTCAGTGCGGATGGAAAGAGTTCTATCCCAAAGCGGAATGATCCAAATTATGGTTACTGTGATTGAACATTAGGACAATATATGTCCCCGTAACGATTGTGTGATAAAAATGCACACTTAAAAGTTTTAGTCAACATGAAATCAAAATTTACTATGATCACTTTCTGGTCTTATAATGCACAGGTGCATATTAACCCTCTGGGGTCCAAGGTGTTTTTGGGGTCCTTGAGATGTTTTGACATACTCTGACATTTGTGCTTTTTTCAGTTGCTTATAAACATATTACTGGCAAAGGTGTAATTACACTCTATTTAGCACACACAGGGCTACCATAATGTGTTATCAACATGTATGTACATTTTTGTATTTTTGAGAGAATATTGTTTATGCGTGGTTATTGAAAAAACTAAAACTTAAAGTTTCTGAAATAAGGCCACAAAACACATACTAAATATCTGTCCACAAGACTTTTGACTAATGGATGTTGTCGCCTAGAGTTTTTTCTTCAAAATGATCTGAAAATCATCCTGGCTTATCAGTCACATAAAACAATAGATTGGTTTAAATTTAAAAATGACACTTTTTGTTTGGAAAGGCAATATGCGCAGGGGTGTGACCTGCTGTGATTCACACCTGAGAAGACAATGGGCCCGCATAATGAGCGCATAATGGGGCTGCATACTAATGACCCTTTCATTCAGGTGTGTCACTGAGCCACAAGAATGCAATGACAATATATATATATATATATATATATAATACAAAATTGGTTCACAGTTCCAATTATTTATTTATTTTTCAAATTGTGCTTGCAAATTGTATAATATCAAATGTAAAAATTTCTAGTAATTGTGCAGTTAATTATCATACTGTTTTTACAGAAAGTTTGGGAATATATCCCAAATGTGTCACTAATAAAACACAATACAAATAATTTAAAGAGGAGGCTTATATTGAGCTTTTAAGATTTACCTAAGATTTATTTATATGTAGCCTACATATATTTTTGCTATTTTAATAAAAAGGTTACAATTACAACAACAATTAAAATTTTAACTATATTTCAAATGTAATCTTTCTTTGTATTATATACTAAAGTATACATTTTATCATACATATTTCACAGTTGCGGATTAATTAGTTTGAATATAGCTTACAATCGAACAAACAATAATAACATCTTAGCAAACAAGCTTATTTGATGTGGCAGTATTTTACAGTAAAAACGACATCTTGTCTTTCATATGTAACATATCGTTTTTATGATTAGGACATATAAATGTTAATTTGCAGTTTAATACGTTGCTTATACAAAAATATTTTATTTCAACATATTTCAGTCGATTTTTACTCATCTCAGTATTGGAATATAGTTAGGTAAAAGCTGTTCATTCATTCACACACAAATACGCGATTCAAACAGTCTTTTTGTTTACAGACACTATTCCATATCGCGATTAGCACAAAGCACTTGAAAATAAAGAATGTACCTATTTCCTCGGCTGGATCCGTTGCTCCTCCAAATGAAACTACATGTAGCCTACTTCTGAGGTAATTTTTTCCAGGATTATTATTAAGATAGTACTATTATTCCTCACAGCGTCGTAAATCTGAGTCTCTTTTGGTGGGTTATCCAGCTGATGTGGGCGTGGATCGCCTCAGAGCATTTGTGTTTGAATAGAGCGCGCGCTCCGTGGGCGTGGTCAAATTAACTTTAATGAGCTGAGACGAGAACGACTATCATCTCTCTCTTTTCGTACAGATTACATAAAATGAGAAAAAATTTTTTTTATATAAATTACTTCATTTAAAAGAAGATAATTCAGGCTTCATGCCTGTGTGCCTGTATACCTGTTTGACAGAGTATTTGCAGAGTTACAGATGATTTTTCGGACGCGTTTCAGAATGGACTTCACTGACAGAGAGAACGCAGAACGCGCATCATGTTTATTTTTCTTTATTAGGCGAAAAGCACAACACTTTGTTTTTATTATGAGGTTCCACAAAAAAAATACAAACTTAACAGGATCGAATGATGTACAACACTTATATGTAAGATCAAAATTAACAGAGTAATTTGAGTCTCTTTTGCACTGATAAGGAAAAAAGTGAGCTGGTATCGCCGGCGAGACCGCCGACCCCAGAGAGTTAAAAGTGAATGTTATTTCAAATAAAACATGTTATTTTGTGTAATCTTTTATTTCGAACATTTCAATAACTAAATGTTTTATCTTTCCTGGTTGCAGGTCAAAGGTGTCATAGAGCATGTAATGGACGCTGCTGGGGGCCAAAGGAGGACCAGTGCCAAAGCTGTAAGTGTCAGAAATTCACAAGTGACTTTATAATGGTCCAAAAAAAAAAAAAAACGATGATTGATTGTGAAATGATGATTGTAAGCTTACATCGGAATGTGCAAAAGTTACTTTTCTCAACCTTAGGTCATATGAGAGAGTGTCACTTCCACTAGTGTTTCAATCATTCCTCACTGGATTTGAAGTAGTTACCAGTCTAGAGCTTTAAACAACATGTTGAAATCATGTTTGACCATGTTTGAAATGATGCCTCCATCCTTTTAATTATCAGAAATTTTCAGTCATTGAACTTTGAACTCTGGTGCTCATGCAGGCAATGGTAAATGGTAAATGGACTGCATTTATATAGCGCTTTCACAGACCCAATGGCCACCAAAGCGCTTTACAATTTGCCTCACATTCACCCATTCACTCACTCATTCATACACCGACAGGCGGTGTCAGCCATGCAAGGCGCCATCCAGCTCGTCGGGAGCAGCTGGGGTTAGGTGTCTTGCTCATGGACACCTCGACACTTGGTCAGGCTAGGCAATGCTCGTTCAACTCTCAATATGGGTTCAAATCTGGCTTATGTTATTTTCCCATGACATTACCAATGGGCTCTATGGACGGCGGTATTTCCGGTGAAGGTCTAAGGATGCTGGATTACTTCCGCCGATCGTAGAGTCCAATGCTATACCGAGAATTTATATTGGTTTTTATACTCTATTGCTATACTAAAGAAACGTTAGTCACAAAAACAGACAAAACAGACACCCCTCGTTTTGTTTATGCTTCTTTGTTTATTATATTAAATAAACATAACTATATATAAAATTACATCTAAATGTATTAAAGTTTCGTTTCAAAGACGAGAGGACAGTAAATTTTGAAGACCCCCCCCAAAAAAAGAAAAAATATTGGTTATATATATATATATATATATATATATATATATATATAATTTCTATTATAAAAAGGAAAATCTCTCAAATCTCTCAAAAAGTCGGCACCAGGTCAGTCAGGTTAATTTTAGTTAAATCTTTTGTAATTTTGTTATGTACTTTTGTCATTTTATTAGTTTTTTTTTATTGCAATTTAGGGTTTAATCTATTTTTATTTCCGGTTTAGTTTTAGATACTGTTTTAGTTTTTTTTTTATTTCCAGTTAATACTTTTAGTGCTTCCACTTAAACTTATATTTTATTGTCAAAGCAACATTTCTAATTTCCGTTTAGTTAACAATTTTCAACTAATATTTATGTTATTTTATTTCAGCTTTATTTGATTTAAATACATTTTTTTATAGTTTTAGTTAATGATAATAATTGTGGATTGGTTGAGCATAACTCAAAGCCGTCATGCAATGCAGATGAATGCGCACATGACCGCATGTTAGTATGCACCAAGTTGAAGTTGTGGCTGATGAATATAATCTGTGGGAATTTGTTTATCTTTTCATGATTAATACATTTATTGATTGATTAGATACTCGTATTTTTGTTACAACCATTTTATAAAAGCATCTTGTCACTAAAGCCCAGGCGTTACACACTGTAAAAAAATTGCTGTAATTATGCAGCTGTTTGCCAGTAACTTACTGTAGATTTAAATTGATGTATATTTACTGGCAACAGTTTGTTCAAAGTTAGATGAACATTAAACATTAACAAGTATTTGTCTTTACAGAATAAAATTATAAAATAACAATCTAATGCAAAGCATTCTGGGAACCAGAAATCTTCATCAACCTTTTTCTGTTTTTTTCCTTCAGATTTTGGTTCCCAGAATGCTTTGCATGAGGCTGTTATTTTAGTTTTATTCTGTAAAGATAAAGACTTGTTAATGTTTAATGTTCATTTAACTTTGAACAAACTGTTGCCAGTAAATAACATCAATTTAAAACTACAGTAAGTTACTGGCAACCAGCTGCCAGTAATACTGTAATTTCTACAGATTTTTTTTACAGTGCAGTGATTTATGAAGAGTTTAGGCAAAAAAATAGAACAAACAGCCTTGGCTTATTTCTTTTATTTTCTAATAATACATTGCATAGCATAAGCATACTGTAACTTATCAACCAGGATGCTAACTTTTACTCATGAATATAATATCTAGACTGTGCAGAGACAGCCGCAGAGAGAGGTGAAGTGTCGTTCCACTCTGTGAGAGTTCTCCAGCTTTCTCCACAGGCCCGATAGGACACCTCCAGCAGGCCGTGGCTCACCGCTGCCCTCCCAGTGGAGGATAATTGAAGAGATAGACGGGAAGCCTGACTCTCCCTCTCCTCTCACATGTAGCTGAGGAAACCAGCTGCACTTAAAACTGCCAGGATTAATTACTTTAGGTCCCTCAAAAATCTCACACGTAGACAGATAGTCCTTCTCTCTCTCTTGCTGGCTTCCTCTCAACAAGCTTGATCACAACACCCTGTAACTCTGATTTCCCCCGACGTGCTCTTATAATGCAGTCAAATGCTAAATCAGACTGCTCAAAAACATGTCATTTCCCCTGCCTCGAAAAGCTTGCTAATGCAGCAGTAAGGGTCTTCTTTTTTTTTTTCTTTTTTTTTTTAAGGACAAAACACTCAACTTGTATTTTCATATTAGAGAAAAACCTCTCATGGCATTACTGTACTCTTGTGCCATTAGCGTGAGCTAGAGGAGATGGGAAGTTAATAGGCAAACCCACACGGAATCTGTGCAGATCATTTCTCCAGAAAATTCCACAGATTCCCACAGAATTTGAATGCCTCTCTCATGAATGCCTGTTCCTTGCATATTCACGTGGAGCTACAAATCAGTTTGAAACATCCTGTAGTCTCCATTCATTTTTCATTCAATATAGTGGATATTTATAATAAATAATATATATTTTTGTATCTGATGGTTGTTGATCCATGCTAGTGATTGGCAAGGGAAACTTAAATTAAAGCAGCAGAAATGTTACCTAAACATAGGTGTCTAGTTCTTTTATTTGACCATACTTGTCACAAAATTCTACAGATTTTCCCCTTAAAAAAAAGAGCAAAAAGTCTGCCGACTCTGTCTGGAACTGCTAATGGTATTTCAGCACATCTGTGAGACCATGTATCTGTATTCACGACAGTATCATCACACAGATGAGCAGAGCAGAGCAATTTCACTTTAGGAATGGCAGGAAAACTATCATGTACCTGAAATGTGTACTACCCTGGTGATATCACCATTTATTCATGTAATGGACAATCATTTTTATAGACTTACAGTAAAATGGTTTGGCGGGTCAAGCAGGAGAATATGACCCTTTTGCTTCTCAAATATACTCTAATTAATCATAATGTCCTCCCTGCTTCCTCTTTCCTCTCTCTTCTGCAGATGTACCTGTCATTTCACTCTGTCCCTCCATCTGGGTACCAACACGCTCTCATTATTCTCACTCAGTTTTGTTTTCATTCCATCTTCAAGACCTCTGAGAGGAAATCTGTTATTTAAATGGAGAAACCATTTATTTGAACAGGCGCTTCTGTCTCTCTGTGGCTGTGTTCTACAAAGCATACTAACAAAAATGGAACCTCAGATGTAGTAACCAATTTGGAACAGCAACTCAAACAAATAGCAAAGTGCACAGAAGACTGGATTCTCTGTTGATTCCACTGTTGTTGTTAATGTAAATGCATTCACCATACACACATATTGGATAGAATACTAAATTTTTAATTACATTCAATTATATAATCAATACTCATCAACAAAATGTTATTTATTGAAAGAATTGTACACTGCCGTTCAAAGGTTTGGGGTCAGTATTTTATATTTTATTTGTAATTCATATACAGCAAGGATATGTAAAATCAATCAAAAGTGATTTTTACATTGTTACAACAGATTTATAATTCTCAAATAAATGCTATTATTTTGAAAAAAAAAAACAGTTTTCAACATTGATTAAATAATAATAAATATTTATTGATCACCTAAACAGCATATTATAATGATTTCTTAAGGATCATTTTGAAGACTGGAGAAATGACTGCTGAAAATTCAGCTTTGCCATCACAGGAATATTTTTTTAAATAGAAAACAGTAATTTTAAAATACAATAATGCTGTATTTTGATTAAATAAATGCAGCCTTGATGAACATACGGAACTTCTTTAAGAAACATTTGAATGGCAGTGTATATACTGTACATTTATAATCAATATATTGGATGGATTCTTTCATTGAGCTCATCAGAATTATTATATCATTATGGGATTGCATTCTCCATGAAAGATATTGTGATGTGATGTCTTACCATTTTTTGGGGGACAGCAGCAGTTCACCAAAACAAATTAAAATTCTGGCATTATTTGCTCATCCTCATCTCATTCCAAACTCATCTGAACTGTTCTTATATGGAAAAATCTGTATAACGATGCTCCAAAAATGTCTGTTCCATAGCACACGTACCAGCATATAATAACAGAATTTTCATTTTTGGGTGAACTGAAAATGTTACAGACATAAGCAGCTCACTAGGTTTTGGAACATAGCCTGTTCTCTCTCTCTCTCTTTCTCTCTAGTATATTCTGATCTCATTTAGATAGTCATAAGCAAACCTTTGCTTCTGCAAACTGCCTCCACAAAGACACTACATGTCACCGCACTGCACCAGATAAGTCCCGTCTGTTCTCTCTCCTCTTCCCTCGTCTCGTCGTCCTCACCTTCCTTCTCTCATCACAGTGGTTAAATCCGCAGCTCGCCTCGCCACCAGCCGCCTAGCTTGAGTAGTCTTAATTGTCGGAACGATAAGGACGAAGTAATTGGAGAACTGCGCGACTGTGAAATGGATTCGAGTTCCATCTCACGCTAATGAAGCTATTTACTAAGTTGAGAGCATTAAACATTCTTGTTGGATTTCCCCTGTAGCTTCCCTGTCATTTCTGCAAACTTAAATCTGTATTTCTCCTCAACCCAGTGGATACTGAGTAAATATTTCAATCTAGTGTATTCAAATAATGATTTTTTTGACGCATAATTAGATTTGGAATCAATTTGTGCATAGCTAAACGGGGATTACATCTAAACAAGAGCGGCGCTTCTTGACCTAAAATGTGTCTGCGCCGTAAAACACGGCAGTTGAGCCGCTAATGAAATTCTCATTACTTTATGTGTACTTTATCAGATTGATTGTGTATAATTGCCAGAGCTGGGTGTATTTTAAAAAGCGTGTTTTATGGCAAATGACTCAACATATCATCGAGTTTCTGAGTGGGCCTTTAGTTTAGTAAAATGTTTTTTTTTGTTTTGTATAATAGGCCATTTGGTGTCTATGCGGTTATGGCTTACATTGCCATAATGGAATTGTAAAAGTGGTATTTCAGAGGAAGGACAATTCACATCAATTGAATCTATTCATATAATAACTTTTATATATGCCTCTCAAAGTGTATAGATTATGTACCTTGTCATATAAAATCCTTGGATACATTGTGCAGGTCTTATAGCAATGCTGTAATGACTAGAGACACTTGTGAATGTAAATAGGTAGATGACCAATTCTATCAACGTTTTAGTTTAAAAGTTATATAAATGTTCAAGGGAAAGTGTGTATAGGTGCTGAGATAATCATCATTTCCAATGCCCTATTAGATTTTTTACAGTTATCTTGAAGGGTTCGTATCAAACGTTTTTCTATTATTATTATTTCCCCTGGTGCCAAGACATTAAGTTTTTTTGTTTTTGTGTAAAAAAAAAGGCCATTTTCCTCCCTCTATGGTTCACTCATATGGGAAGCAGGTTTGTTGTCGGGTTTAATATAGTATTAACTGCCTTATTCTTTAAAAAACTACTTTTTGGTTGCATCACATTGTGACACACAAAACAATTCACATTTATTTGTGTGGCCTAATTAATTAAAGTTAGACAGAAATGATCAGCCTTGTATGGAAGCTTGTTTCCGCCACAGAATGAAATATAAAAAAGGTAATTGTGACATTTTATCTCACAATTTTGACTTTTTTCTCGCAATTGCGAGATATAAACTCGCTATTTTGTGAGATATAAAGTCAGAATTGTGTGGTTTAAACTCGCAATTGTGAGATAAAAAGTCGCTTGGAATATAAAAATAAACTTCCAACTTTGGGATCATTCAGAAGGATGTGCAGAGCAGCGGGTGCTACACAGAACCAGAACCAGCTGAAGGTTTGGCGGACTTTTAAACACTTGACTCTTACTGTATATTGTTCATTCTCCTGGTAATCATACCTGTCTGACAATGACTGGGTGGGTCATGTTTCTGATCTCCCATCATTGATATGTAAACATGGATGATCAAATAAGAATTTATTCATCTATCTCACGTCAGAAGTTCAGTTTTTGAAGGAAGTGATTCTGTAGCAATGTGGCTTTGCATGAATATTTAAAAATCTAAATATTAAAAGATCATTAAAACTGCATGTATAGAAGTTATACTAAAAAAAATAAAGAAATATTTGATGTAGTTTTAGATTAAGTATAGCATGTCACCCAGCAGGACACTGCTGTCAACGTACCAAGATCCATGTACATCTGAATCCTGTCATGCTTAGAGAGCCTAATGAACTCTTGATAAAGAATTAACATGCATTTGTAAGAGGCTGTGGAGCGTGCAGTCAGCCCGAACAAGCATGCATATACAAATGCTGCTGTGGAAATCCAATTACACCGTTTTACAAGCACCTTGCTAGTAACACTCACACTCACATTTGTGTGGGGGCTAGTAGATAAATTAAAATGACAGTCTTTGTAGGATTTGAGTCTGTGTGTGATTTTGTACATTGTTGCGTTCCAGAAGCATAACCCACTGGCCATTAGCGTAAACTGTACTCTACTATAGCTAGTTCTCTCTTTCAGGTCAACATTTGTGATGGCAGAGCAACTGTTTTAGGAGAATCTTACTCGGGAATTTAGTTCAATTCGACACATTTACAGCTAGCTAAACTTCCATTGAAATTTTTTTTTTTAAAGAAATTAATACTTTTATTCAGCAAGGATGCATTAAATTGATCAAAAGTAACAGTGAAGACATTTATAATGTTACAAAAGATTTCTATTCTATTCATCAAAAAATTGTGGAAACAAAGTACAGTTTCCACAAAAACAAAACAAAACAAAAACAATTAAGCAGTACAACTGTTTCCAACATTGATTATAGGAAGAAATGTTTCCAAATCAGCATATTAGAATGATTTCTGAAGGAACATGTGACACTGAACTGAAGCTGAAGCTGGACTAAGATGCTCTTTTCTTCTGGAAACAAACTTTGTTGCATTTTCCTGTTATCTAGCTGCTTTGAAACCATCTGTATTGTAAAAAGCTCTATATAAATAAATGTGACTTGGCTTGACTTGACTGAAGACCGGAGAAATGATGCTGAAAATTCACATGAATAAATTACATTTTTAAATATATTATACAAATCAGTTATTTTAAATTGTAATAATATTTTCAGAATACAACTTTCAAAAATAAAACTACAAAATGTACCAAGCCCAAATTTTTGAACCTTAATAACATTCGATCCATTTTGATAATAACTCTATCACACCCATGAGTAAAGTTTGTTACTACCCTAACAACGTAAGAAGAGTTGCATTAGCCAAGCATCCGCATCTTTGTTTGCATCCTAACAGTGCATAAAGTTGGCCTTATTTCAGAAAGCTCCCTAAGCTCATTCAGAAGCTACACCGGAGATGTATTTGGCATGCCATATGGTAGGGATTACTGTGAATGTCTATATTCATTACTGTGAGTATCGCTAGGAGGAGGAAAGCAGCACTGCTCCATGTTCACCATCATTGAAGTTAAGAGACCACACATCACCACTTGTTCTCTCCGGCTAGCTCGGTTTACTTCTACTTAATACCACACCTACTGTCATCTAGACAGCTGTGTAGTATGATCAGGGATTATGGTTAAAGTGTTTGTTAACACAAATGCTAATTGTCATTAGAAAATGCTTTTTTCACGAACAGTTTCTGAACTTGTCTCTCTGTTACTTTCTCAGTGACCAAGACGGTGTGTGCCGAGCAGTGTGATGGCCGCTGTTTTGGGCCGTATGTCAGTGACTGCTGCCATCGCGAGTGTGCTGGAGGCTGTTCAGGACCGAAGGACACAGACTGCTTTGTATGTCTTCAGTATTTGTGTAACACACACATACACCCAAGCATACTAGTGATTGCAGAATATAGTCGATTAGCTCTGCCACTAGTTGATGTTTTGGCTCTGTGTCGACTAGTCACAGACCACATGACTACAGTTTGTTCTATATGGTGACAGCAGGATGAAAAGTCCTCTGTCCACAAACTGTTCTTTCTTGGTGTCTATTCTGTATTTGTTCTGTATTTGCATGTCATAGTCAATATATACAGTATACTAGTGGGGTTTCAAAGTCCACTAGCAAAGTTGAGCCTTTGCATTCTTCTATTTTTATAGGGTTTTTATCAACACAAATTATATGATCAGCAAACACAATTTTTCTTTTTCTTTTTGCTTTAATAACAGCAGTACTCAGGCTGCATGACCTTCACAAGTTTGTATAAAACCTGATTATCATATTTTCCAGCAAGATTTGAGAATGATCCAAAGACCTTATTGAGCTTCAAAGGAAGCAAGAACATTTGAACTTTTGTACAAGTTAAGGTCCGTTCACACCAAGAGTAATAAGTAAGATAACTATAAAGATAGCTATAACAATAAATATATAAACGTCCACACCAATGCACAGTGACATTTTGTTTATTATAAGAACACTGCAAATATGTCGCCTGCCACTTTAAATGCTCAAGTTCTTTAAAGCAGGATGGATTCTGATTGGCTGTCAGTGTTTTTAAAATTTATCAGCTGGAAAAAAATCGTTATGAAATCTATCGTTCATTTATCGTTCTGCAAGTGATTTCAATTATGTCGTTCTTCTGTTGTTGTTATAATTAGTTGTGGTGTGGACTTCCCTATTCTCATAGAACTAGAATGAACTTTATAGTTATTGTTATAGTTGCCGTCATGTGAACGGGATTTTAAACATGCTCAAAATATCACAAATGTTTAGTGGGTCTGGAAATGTTAATGTGAAATGTTAATTCTAAAATAGTTTTTATAGGTTTAAAATTTGATTTTGAATAATCTCAGATTTGAATGTGGAATCAGACTTTTAAACCTCACTGTGTTTGAAATGATGTAGATGTGAAAATAGTGGACATTGTGCTTTTAAGCTTTGACTCACAACTAGTCAAAATCTTTTCCGGGTCGAATAGAATCCCTAACCTCAAATATTATCCTCTTAGATGTCTCAGCATGTAAAAACTTTTTTCCCCCAAACACACACGCACACACACGCGCGCTCACACATACGCGCGCACACACACAGTCTGTCAGTCACTCTATGGCCTTATCAGCATCCCATAAATCTTCAATTGTATAAGTGTTACGGTAACAGCGCCAGACCCATTCTGGCTCCCTCACCTTATCTGTGAGTTTTTGTTCAGCTGTGATATTCACTTCTGCAAAAGAGATCTATGTTGCCTACAGATGACTCGCTTTTGACCAGAAATCTCCCTATAGGAGACGGTCTTTGCACTGGAGATACCATTAAAATCTCATTTCCTCCCACAATGCTTTGCTGTGAATGAGAGTGGGGGCCACACCTCTGTAGCTCTTTTGTTGCGTGTTGCCTGGGCAGATCCCGAACGTCTCTGACTGCTCCTCGCCTCTCCGGCCCTCTGAGGAAGCGATTTATCGCACCTCTCTGGTTTTTTAATTAGTTATCCTCAGCTGTAATCATTGATATTGTACTTCTCAATTGTTCCCTTTTAATTGAAAAAAGCACTTTCGCGGCACGCATTGGGATTTGGATCAATGCCTTCAATTTTTTTTCATCTCAGCAACTCTAAGACAGAAAACATATATTCTCACATGTTTCTAAAGTCAAAGTATAGAGCTTTTTCCATTCCATTAGCCTGTTTGAATCATTATTTATTAGTAGCATTGCTGCTCTATATTGCTTTTACAACACATTCTCATCCTTTGGCGTCATATAGGTGACGCCATATGACATTTCGTCGAAATCTTACGCACATGGCATCCTTTAGCGTCAATATAACACGCACTGTTATGGGTAGTTTTTGGTCTGGGGTAGGGTACGGTTATGACGCCTTGGGATCTGCGTCTCATATTCACGCTAAACGATGCCATGTGCGTAAGATTTCGACGACATGTCCAAAGCGTCACATGTATGACGCCTTGGGATGAGAACGGGCTGTGCTTTTATGTAGTATTGGTGTTGGTTGACATACTTTTTTTGTGTGTTGAAGCTGATTTTGTGTTCCTACACATTCTTCTATTGCATAATTTACAAAAATGAGACTGTAAGAGTAGCAACACAGCTGTTTTATCAAATAAATGTGTATTGCTGTCAATAACCTTGTTTCCTTGTGTGCAGGCCTGCACTAACTTCAACGACAGCGGTGCATGTGTGACGCAATGCCCACAACCCTTCGTCTACAACCCAACCACGTTCCAGCTGGAGCACAACCCGCGGGCCAAATACACATATGGAGCTTTCTGCGTCAAAAAGTGCCCACGTAAGACAGAGCGAATAAATACAAACCTGTGTATGCTTACGCACACGATTCTAGCTCGATCTTTCACTCACATAAATGGGTATCAGATGCCATGTCTAGGCGTGTTCATAAGCGGGCATGTAAGCATGTTTCAGATTGAATGCAAATGAGGCGAATCGGCTGCACCTGAGTCCTCACGCTCCTCTGAGCCTCTGTTGAGGTGCGGCCCACACGTAGAGCCCCAGGAGTGAGCCTGTCTGATAAATCTCACTCAGCTTCTTGACCTCTGTTGACTTGGAGGAAAGAAAGAAAGAAAGAAAGAAAGAAAGAAAGAAAGAAAGAAAGAAAGAAAGAAAGAAAGAAAGAAAGAAAGAAAGAAAGAAAGAAAGAAAGAAAGAAAGAAAGAAAGAAAGAAAGAAAGATCCCTTCAACCAGGGATCTGTGGCAGTACTGCAGGGGGTCCACCAACTATTGTTTGATCTCAAAATAATTATTGTTAAAATAATAAAATATGCATTCAAAACGACATCTAACCCTCATGTTCTGTTGAGAATTAGTTTTTTTTTTTTTTATAAATACTTTTTTTTTTGCATTAATTTGATGCGTTACTCTAACCTAATCAACTTCTAGTAGACAGATATTATTAAAAAATAATATCCACAAAACAGTAATGCTCCTCAATGTGGGTCCCCAAACAGAAGATAAACTTAATTTCAACCACTGCTAAATGTTTTATTGTCCATCCCACATTGAAATGTATTAAGTAAAAATTAAAAATGTGACCTTTCAGTACATTTTTAATGTTTTAATGGCTTTGCATTGTCAGCACCATAACAAAGTATGTACATGTACTATACGCATGCATACAATGCAACATATAAAACAGAGCTGAGTGTGAATAGACCTGATGGAGTAATTACGGAGATAGGAATCCCGTGTGTTTCTTATTGGAACGATGAAAATTTCGAATTAACTGGCCTGACTTCTTTGAAGAGGAGAGAACGGGGAAAGAGAAAGTAACATCAAAATAATGAAAGAGAGTTTTGATAACAGTGGTTATAGGTAGCACGAGTGCCATTATTCCCCCTTGCTGGGCCGCCACTGCTGCAGAATGAAGGGTTTGCACACTGACAGACGCCCACTCCAGTGCTCAGTCCACGATGAATGTTATTGTGCAATACTCAGAGACCCGTTCCATAACCCAAACCGTCCTCTGCAGTTTGGACATGGCCACTTCATTCAATGGCACATCTCTGAAATCCTCTGTTTGGTTGGGTTTCACGAGGCTGTCAAGTGATTGTTGTGGGGTTTTTTTTACCCAGGGTTATTCATTCTTCTGGTGTCACGTTAAATCTAATGCCACAGTAAGACTCTGAGATTCACGTTTAATGTAAGAGGTGAAGAGAGACGTCTGCACTTGAGCACTCCATCTTCTTTTATCTGGCCCTTCGTGAGCCCTTTCTCCTCTCTGGTGATGGATGCCACGCTGCACAGTCGCCGCCGGAAATGGGCTTTCCACACACACACACACGCCACAGTCAGGGTCCCTAGTGCGTTCGCGCAGATGTGTTAATGGTTTTTGTCTGAGAATGGATGTTTCTTCTCTACCATTACAAAATGTCAATGGCCTTTTTCACAGAGATTGCTTAGAGTTTGTTCAGGGGCACGCTGCAGTCTGACTGTTTGTTCTGCTTTTGTGTGTGGGGTGATAGATAACTTCGTGGTGGACCACAGCTCCTGTGTCAGAGCCTGTCCTAGCAACAAGATGGAGGTGGAGGAGAACAGGATCAAGATGTGCATCCCCTGCACTGATATCTGCCCTAAAGGTGATCACACACTTCATCAAAACTCACCAAAATGCCATATTTGCTATGATGATTGCCCCAAAACCAAAATTTCAGTTGTCAGTGAAATTTCACAAACTGTGATAGCAAAGCAAGCAAAAAACATATTTTTGGTGGAAATGCTATTTAATTAATTTATAACAGTATTATTTTAATATTACTTACATGCTGTTTATCAATATTTTGAAGCTTTTATATTTTAATTTTAGTTTAAGTTTTAGTCATTTTGGTATGTGTTTTTGGCATTTATATTATTTTTTATTTCAGTTTTAGTTTTAATAATTTTAGTACTTTAGCTTAAAATGATAATTTTTCACCATTTCAGATGTTTATTCAAGTTTAATAATATTTATGTTACTATTAATATTTAATAGTTTTTGATAACACTGATTATAAATGTACAATATTATAGATTATAATATAGTAATATTGAAATTGAAATATATATATAGGCTGCATTTATTTGATTTAAAAAATATACTTTATGTATATATATATATATATATATATATATATATATATATAATTATGTAAAATATAAATGTATATAATTATATAGATTTTTGTCTCTCTGAAAACAAAGAAAAGAAACAATCAAATGTAAAATACAACTACTGGTAACACAACGCTTCAAACGACATGGAACTACTGCTGCTATTCAAAGACTGGTATTGATACAGTCTTTGTTTATGTATGTATCAATTTATTTATTTGCATCAACTTGTGAAGTTCAGTGGTTACTGTAGTTATTGTTATCAGGATAGTTCAGCCTTTCTAGTAAACAACCTACTTTGTCCATTATGCAGCGGTGTGTTGTGACAAAACACTGCATCACAGTACATGTATTGTGCACCGTGAACTTTACAGCAGTAACAGTAATGTGTGAAGTATGGTATTTTGGTGGAAACTTTGCTAACCAATTTCTGAAGGGGTCCTGACCTGACATTAACCATTCATTAATTATTCTTTCTTTCAAAGTTATCAAACATCACCTGAAAGTTCTATCCATGACCTTTACACAGTTGTCTGGTTTATGTTATAGCATGTGATGGGATTGGCACTGCCAGCCTTCAGACGGCTCAAACCGTCGACTCCAGCAACATTGACAGATTCATCAACTGCACCAAGATCAACGGAAATCTGGTGTTCCTCATCACAGGCATTAAAGGGTGAGAGTGGCTTCTTCAAGGTCTCTTTCGGCTCACTTCACAGCCATTACACTCTGCTTTACAGCTGAATATCGAATATTGGATTGTCGGAAGCCATTTGACCTATGCTGCTTCTTTTTATCAGATAACATCAGCTTTAATGATGCAGGAGGGGATTCATGAAAGAAAAGCTCTAGAGAAACCATTCACATCATGGCTGTGTAAAAAAAAAACAGCAGTGGCTAGTTTAATGGCACACATTAAAAGTGCCATTAACACACTTTGCGAGTTTAGACAGGCAAGCAAGACCTTCGAGACCTTCTACTGACTCTCAAGACGGCCGCAGTTAATGTGACTTTATATGAGAAATCTGCTGCCCCCTCTTTATATAAGTGCTGTGAAATATTTGATTGCCAGCTTGTCAAGAAGTCATTTGACCTCTGGTTGACCTGCTCCCTCCAGTGGTCTCTTTCTGATCCCACTGCGCCTGCTTGGCTGGCCCTTTAACCCCATATAGCTGACTCTGCTCTTAAAGAGCAATCCAGGGCCAGCATCCGCAGCATGCTGGGAAAACCCATGTGCACACATACACACATCCTGATAGGCATGCATATGACATCATCTCCACCACAAACTGTGCTATGGAGTGCACATATTTCTTACACGTATTCCCACGTGCACACTCTCACACACGCCGCGTCAGCAGGTGTTCTGGACACATCCTCCCTGAAGATCTCCACCTCAGTGGTGCTATTAAAACCTGCTGTACTGCTCAAAAGAACATTATATGGCATGGAGACTTAGAAAAGATCTAGAAAATGCAGCATACTGGGATGGATGTGGTCAGCAGACACTGGTTAAATGCTTTTATATTGATAGTCTGCACTTATGGACTCTCTAATAACTTGATTTTTGCAAATGGCTTCTCACTGTTTGCTTTAAGAGCTTGTTACACGATCTGGACTCAAAATGCTAGGTTTTTCTTGATTTCTTAAAGAAATAATGTGGCTTTCAGTATGTACTGAGTGTACAGTATGTACTGTGTTACAGGGACATATACCACAACATAGAGCCCTTGGATCCAGAGAAACTCAATGTGTTCCGCACTGTTCGAGAGATCACTGGTAAGTCATGTCGGTTTTATTTGGATTGGTCTTTTACATAATAATGATAATATGATAACACATATTGTTTTCAAGGCATCTTTGAATAATGCATAGTGCATTACAAACACAAATTGCGCAAGCCATAAAAGACAAAAAAACAAACCTTCGGAGGAACCAGCACTCAGCAGGGGGAGCCCATCCTCCTCTGGCAGGCACATATTTAAAGGGATACTTCAGGATTTAGCATTAAGCTTTGTATTAGTAGGAAACCTGTAGTATTTTTAAATTACCGTGCTTTCCACCCTCATATCCCCCTGAGACGAGAGATTTATGTATTTTTTGTCTGGAAAAAATCCTCCGATGATGCAAAAATCTTCATTTTGCGTCATCGGAGGATTTTTTGGCCAGAGGCTAAAGACTACAGCCAGTAGAAGGAGCTGTCCCGCATGTTCTCAACCCGCCCATAGAGGGTGGGATCTCACTCACAGAATGTACACATAGTGTCAGCCATCTTTTTTTGGAAGCTAAGCTAGCAGGCTCTTGTTCTGTGGAGAAAGCTGAGTAACTTAGTAGGAGAAAGCTGAGTAGTAGGGGTTACCATCCTCTTTTTCCTGGACATGTCCGGCCGTCGAGATCGTACAAAATGTCCTGGATTCAGCTTTTGCTTTCTGCAGTCGCCATTCATTGTTTACATGCACACCTTTTGTTTCAATCTAACTGAATTCATTCCGATTGGTGAATCTGAATGTAGTGTTTACATGAACGCTAAACAAGTGATCGGTTGATATGCGTTTTAACATTGCTAAGAAAATTCCCGCTCCTCCGTGAGAGATACGAGACCGGTGCGTCTCACAGGTGTCGCTCGTCATCAGTAATCACGCCACCGGCCTCGCGTCGTTCTCCCGCGGCCCTCAGTCTCGTCCTGCTCGTCACAGTAAACATAATTAATGGCGACTGTAGAACGCAAAAGCCGAATCCCGGACATTTTGGGCGATCTCGAAATCCCGGACAGACTCGTCACGGAGACTCCACTAGTAACCTAGACTTGTTGTTTAACTACTGTGCTCTGTTACCGGTAGGCGTGGCCTCCTAGGGCAGCGAAGCAAGTGCATTCTGGGAGTTGTTGTCTTTCATCCACATAAGCTAAAAATAAATTTTCTGGCTTTTCTCAGTCTAGAAAGCTCCAAATTCAAAAATAATTTCACATTTCTTCTACATAAATGACCCATTTTAAATACACATTCATCTTTCCAGAGGTGAAGTATCCCTTTAAATAAATGCTATATGCTAATATAATAAATGAACAATTTTACCCAATATTTATGTATGTTTATGCTTATTAGAATATGTGCTGACACAAGCACTGCTAACTCAATCTCTGCTGAAATCAGTCTAGTTACGTTTACTGTGCACTTTGCTCGAGGAGGGTTATGTGTTTAACACACTAAGGCCCTGCTTACACCTGGTATTAAGATGCATTTTGATCGGCTGGATCACAAGTAGACGAGGGAGAAACATTCCCGTTTTTCAATCTATAACATTATCCTGTTTGCACCTTCATTCGCAAGACTACGGCAAACGTTGTGAGTGCATTAGAAATCATCAATGGTGAGAGAACATTGTGCTTAGTACGTTTTTCGTCTTCAAACCAAACTTGGTTCTCCAGCCGACAAAGTTTAAATCCAGTCTGGATAGCGCGCTTCCCATAATCTTTACGCATTAGGTCAGTAGGTGGAGAGTAGGCTTTTGTGGCTGTTCGAACTCATTTGACAATCTACACTACAAAAGCAATCTGGTCGAATGCATTTTTGTCTACCTCTGGAAGTGGACAAGCTCAAAACATTTTAAACCCCCCTTTACACCTGTATTTACACCTCTATACACATCGTCCACTTGTGATCCGATCAACCAAAACACATCATAATACCAGGTGTGAACAGGGCCTGAGAGAGTGTTCCAAACCAGTCACTAATGAGGGTCCATTTCATGCTGCCTTAGAAGATAACAGACAGTAGACAACGAGGAAGCTTCCTACATTTTGGAACAGGGGCATTAACTTATGCTTTCATAAAGAAGGGCCTGTAAAATGAAAATAGCTGATTCACATGCGCAGATTTTCATAATCCACCTGTTTTATTGAAGAGTTCCATCAAAAACACATGGAACAAAGCACAGAGGAAGATCTAGTGTGTTTGTGGATTTGTAGACGTGTGTGTGGGACGTGTGTAACTGTGTGTGTGTTTGTACGAGTGTCCGCTTCTCTGTATCTCAGCGGGGAGGCCCTATATATGATGAATACATGATGAGGAAGATTTCTCCAACTGAAGAGAGCTTCCCAAAGGAGAGCAGGACTCATAAGAAACATGAAAGCAGTTGAAAACACTCCTCTCTCTCTCTCTCTCTCTCTCTCTCTCTCTCTCTCTCTCTCTCTCTCTCTCTCTCTCTCTCTCTCTCTCTCTCTCTCTCTTCCTTACGCTCTTTACCTTTCTCACTCTCTCTTGCTGTGGTGACAGCAAAGAGGGCTCTCCAAGTCAGTGAGGCATGCATGTCAGGCTGTCACATCTATATGCATGTGGCCACAGTCTCTGACAGAACGTCTTCACTGGAAAGGTGTTATTTCTGCTCTGTGACCCCCAGCTTGAAGACTTTGACAGATCCAGAGGTGCCTGCTATATGTATTTCTTTACAGCGGGTTTAAATCGAATGCGTTTACTCCATTTGAATGAATTCAGTGTACAATTTGCATTTTACACTTGAAGAAGGTCATCTAGCTGTGAGAAGTTGCTGCTGAAACGAAAGACCCTTCAGATGGCTGTTATTTAATTTGTGTGTGGTTGCATGGTCAGTATGACTCCCAGTAAACCCCAAACCCTGACTTGCATTAAACGAACATTTCACAGCCGCAGTCGAATGCTTCTCTTCCAGTATTTGAAGATTTGGGGAAATGCCTGTGGCTCTTCCGGCACTGCCTTCAGCTCAAGCCCTCTGTGAATCATCTCTCAAGAGAGATGGACAGAAGAGGCTGACCTGATTTAACCTCTGCCTGGTCTCAGGGCTTGAGGGAGGGGTTAGCACTGGGACATAGAACTGTGAAAAATGATCAATATTTTCTGAGAAAATATTTTTGCAGCCTTTTGATGATGATATCTGATATTTTTCTCCAAATTAATTTATTTTCTCTGAAGATAGTTTTTTCAACCAAACAGCCAGTGTTGTAAAGTAGATTCAGATTGTTTATTGCAAAAAGCAAAAAACACAGTATATAGTTTAAAATATAGTTTTTCACACTATTTTTGTTAAATGATGATTTGAATAATGTTTAATATATATATATATATATATATGTCGAACAGCATTTATTTGAATTAGAAATATTTTGTAATGTTATAAATGTCTGGTAGCACTTTACAATAAGGTTCATTAACTAATGTTAGCTAATGTATTAACTAACATGAACTAACAATGTGCAATGCATTAGTTACAGTATTTATTAATCTTTGTTAATGTTAGTTAATAAAAATACAGCTGTTCATTGTTTGTTCATGTTAGTTCACAGTGCATAACTAGTTAATAATGTATATTAACTAAGATTAACAAATGCTGAAGAAGTATTGTTCATTCTTAATTCATGCTAACTAGGTAACTAATGTTAACTATTGAACCTTGTTGTAAAGTGTTACCAAATGTCTTTACTTTCACTTTTGATCAATTTAATCCATCCTTGCTGAATAAAAGCATGGATTTCTTTTTTTTTTTTAACTCCAAGAAAAAAGACTCCAAACATTTGAACAGTTTTGTACTTTATATACACCGATATAACAACTACTATATATATATATATATATATATATACATACAGCCTACATACGGTAAAGCGTCAGAAATTTAAAGCATACATTTCTGAGTTATGACACAAAGAGATCCTAGAGATCCACCTCATGTTGGCGCAGCTCAAACTCGCTGGTGTCGGCAGCTGTATTTCGTGTTACTCGGACTCATTTGCAGCAGTTTCCTTTGTGATTCTTGCGTGCAATTCATTTGTGGGGCAGCATTACTCTCCTGATGTTTGTCTGGAGCTGACAAGTGTTCTCTGGGACCTCGTTAGCACTATTAGCATGATGAAGTCTCGCCTCCACACGTAAAAAATAAACAGATTACAACACAGACAGGCAAGCGGCCCACTCTCAAGGCACTGCAGTGCAGACACACTCTCTTAGACTTCCCATCGCACAGTTTTGTCATTAAGGCAATTAGTGTCAGCAGACACCACGCTAACGACACCTCACTGAGGCACTTCCTCTAATCTGCCTCCACAACCTTAGACCAAATAACCCAGGCTGCGGAAAATGCAAACGCTGGAGCGTTTAACCCCATTTCGGCTCAGAAATGATCGATTTCTAAGAGTGAAAATCATGAAATTTCAGGCACATTTTTGCAGGTTTTGCATTAATAATAAACAGTCTGGCAACAATGTCAGTAGAGCTCAAATTAATGTCAAATTTAGATGATTTATGATTAATTGATGGCATTTCTCTCTCCTCCAGAAAACCATCACTGGAGGCAAATGTCTTAATCAAATGGCTGCATTAATATTTACTGTAGTCTTTTCCGGTAGACATGCTAATGAGTGTGGAATCCAAACGTTTGAATCCAAAATTTTAACGAAGCACAACAAAGCAGCCCAGGAATGATAACCACAAGTTGTGGCCTAGAGATATGACCATAAACTCTCAGCAGGAATAATATTTATATTAGTCTCTTAACACAAGACCGCTATTGCTCAAACATGGCCCTCTGAAAGTAATAAATTAGTTTGAAGGCAATCAAATATCAGTTATTACTTGAAATATGCACCATCCAAGCTTTGCATTGTTAAAGTAATTGGAGTAATTTATGTTCTTCTTGTCCTTGAATAAGAAAGTCCTCTTCTTTTTTTTTTTTTTCGTGGCCTGTTTGTCTATTCTTGGCATATGCACAGGATTGTTTTCCCTTCAATAAATTATTCATTTTTGAATCCATTATTAAAATGTCTCCTTGATCTATAGCTATCAGCTCTTCAATCTGCATTAAATAAATGGAAATAGATGCAGGATATGAGAATATAGTCAGGCATTATATCGTGGTCATATTTCTCAAATAACACATTGATTGTTTGCTCAGCACTGATCACCCACACTCATTAATGACTTTAATAAGCTCCTAAGAGGGATTTCTTTTTCATGCTGTAATGAAACATTTCTCTTAATTACTGTAGGTGGCACCACTTATGTCTACTATGTTGGCTGATCATTTGGCTCATTGAGTGTGTCATCTTGTGTTTTCCAGGTTTTTTAAACATTCAGTCCTGGCCAGAAAACATGACTGATTTAAGTGTCTTCGCCAATCTGGCAACCATCGGAGGCAGGTCTCTTTACAGGTAAGATGCAGGGCTCACTCTTTGTTGCCAGCTCTAGAAAAAGTCCTCCTCATCCTACTTTCACAAGTCTGTTGCTTTCTTCGAATGCACCTGGGAAACTCATTCTTCCAAATCAGGCATTTGTTATTACAACGTCACACATTTAAGTTGGAAAAATAACGCAGAGGTAGCCTTAACAAAACAAAATAATTATATTTTGAGCAGTGAACTTTAAAAAAAATCTGAATTCAAAATGATTATTCATTTCTATTACTTATTTATACATGGTATCAAAACTAAATGTTTGTATTATATAAAGCAAACCGTGAAAGTCAATTGAATAACTTTGCAGTTGTTGTCTTTCTGCGGTTCTGTAATCAAACCTTAAAAATAATTGGAATACAGCATGTAATAACTTGCTAAATCATTCATTATAATTCGCTACAGACTTGTTTTCCACTCACAAAATGCAAAGCCTGTCTGATGTGTTGTGCCTTTATCGTCCATGTTAAATGAATGTTTATTTAAAAGAGATATTTGTTTATAGTTTCTATTGATCGTGGAATTTATTCATCTCATGATAATCTGCAAAATTATCGTTTGATGAATAACTGGCCTGTAAGTCTGATAGATTTATAGCTGTTGAAATTGCATTCAGCACTAATTGTGTGACTACTTTTCCATTATCTCCTGATTTGCATCCTTTAGTCATTTTAGTGAATTGGACTAAAACAACGCAGACAGCATGTGCAAATGCGTAATTCACTCTTAGTGAATCCCCTCTTTCGTGTTTTCTAAAGAGGCTGAGTCTTTCTTGCCAAGAGTTCAAAGAGTACAAATGAAAAGCTCTATTCACACAGTGCAACACCCATTTGCTTAGAGTTAAAGAGTCTGGAGAGGCAGAAAGAGAGCAAGAGCACAGTTTTAACATGTGTGGGTCATTTGTTGAAAGCTCTACCACTGTAGCAATTACCGTTTGTCACATGATGTGCTCTGTGTCTGACACTGGCTTTTTGCCTGAAACACAGAGAGGAAAAAGTAGAGAGAAAGAGGAATAACAGAAGAGATGTCTCGGCGAGATGAGAGCGATGTCAGTGTCTAAGTGCACCTGCACGTTCTGACTCTCAAAGCCCCTTTGATGTGCTCTTCAGCACGCCTGCCCGTGATTAAAAACACTGTTGTGATTACGCCTCGGCATTAACCCATCTCATCACATGTGAAGTGGGAGATCCTCTGCGACGCTGGGTGGGGGACGCAAGCTAAACTTGCTTTAGAAAGGCAAAAGCATCTCTCATACTGACAAATCGCTCGTGCCTTTTGTTCATGAAGCCATCATTTCAGCTTTCTTTGTCAGATCTCATTCTTTTGTTTCATTCTTACTCATTCTGATCTGATCAAGACTCTCCAGGCTAAAGAAAGTCTGGTCTTCTTCGTTGTTTTTGATTGTTTAAAATTGTGGTTGTCAATTTAATGTGTTCATTCAGTTTGAAAAATTGTTCAATTAAAGTGAAATTTTATTTTATTAATATATATATAAAAATGTAACGTTATTTAAATAATTATAAATTATATAATTTTAATAAAAAGTTTGTATTGTATTTATTTAATTTGTTATATTAATATAAAGCCCTCAAATGTTTAATTATTATTTTGTATGTTGTTTTAAATATTTTTTTGTCACTTGTTCGTTGCTCAGACTCGTTCTCCCAGTTTAAAACTAGACTAAAGACGCATCTATTTAGCCAGGCATTCATATAAAATTTTTAATCTTACAGTTACTGTAAATTCGGCCTCTACTTCATAAACGCCAGAGGAGAACTGGCCCCGACTGAGCCTGGGTTCTCCCAAGGTTTTTTTTTTCTCCATTGGGTCATCTGATGGAGTTTTAGGACACCATCGGGTCACTTGATGGAGTTTTTCGGTTCCTTTGGCTTGCTCAGTTGGGGATATTCAAATTAAATGACCCATCATACCACTGATCAGCTCTACCAAACTTGGATGTCTTTTCCAGTAATAAACAAACACTGTTAATTTGTTTTGATTGATACTGTGAAGCAGCTTTGATACAATCTGTATTGTGAAAAGCGCTATATAAATATATTTGACTTGACTTGACTTGACTTGTTTGTTTGTTTATTCACACAGACAGACAGACACACACACACACAAACAAACAGATAGATAGATGTTGTGTATTCCCTTTATTTTTGTCACTGATTTAACCCCTCTTTAAAGTGTAAACTGTAACCTTTTGTCTCCTTGTGCTTTCTCGTGTGTTTAGTGGCATCTCTCTTCTGGTGCTGAAGCAGCAGTGGATTTCATCACTTCAGCTGCAGTCTCTTAATGAGATCAGTGCTGGAAACGTGTACGTCACCAACAACAGTCAACTCTGCTATTACAACACCGTCAACTGGACACGACTCTTCCGCACTAACACCCAGAAGTCCCTGATCCGCAACAACCGCGACCCCAAGGAGTGCAGTGAGTCCATCGCTCTGTTTTTACTATTGTTCCATTCGTTTTTAGGATAAATTAGTCATATCCTAGCATAGCCCATAGCTGTCAACATCGAACATTGAAAATAAGGAAGATTTCCCGGAATCCATCCCCAAAATAAGTGATTTTTTTTTTACATGACTCTAACAAACTTTAAAAAAAGCACTAATCAGTAACAGTCTAAAGAGTTTATAAATATGTGTGTGAGAGAGAGAGAGAGAGAGAGAGAGAGAGAGAGAGAGAGAGAGAGAGAGAGAGAGAGAGAGAGAGAGAGAGAGAGAGAGAGAGAGAGAAAGATAGTGTGTGTGTGTGTGTGTGTGTGTGTGTGTGTGAGTGAGTGAGAGAGAGAGAGGTAGAGAGAGACAGTGTGTGTGTGTGTGTGTGTTAGGGGTGTGACGGTTATTATATAACCGTGAGACCGATGGTTATAGTTGAACACCGTCATTAGAACTCTATAACCGCCAAAACAGTGTTATTAAAATATTTTTTTTTACAAACATTTTTTTTATCATAGAGATCTGTTTAAATACTAATATCAGCTTACGAGGGAAACGGAGTTAGTGGTGCTTCGGAAGCTGCTACTGTTGGAGATGATTCGGGAGAGGTCTGTCCTCCTTTACCGATCAAAGCGTGCACTGACACGGAGTAAAGCCTTGTTTATACTCGACGCGTCCGCACGAGCGCGAAGGTGCGCGCGGCAAAAATTACGTTGGGTGCGCAAGACCGAGTAGGCTACTTTACTGGAGGTCTAGCAACCCAAGTGCAAGCCACACAGATAGTTGCGTGTTCTGAGTTAACACAATCAGAGCGTAAAAATACGGGATATTTTACGGGAAAATACTAAGACGGGAAGACAGCGGGAAAAGAGCTAAAATGCGCGAGAAACCCGGAAAAAACGGGAGGGTTGACAGCTATGGCATAGCCAAATTTTAGACTTGCATCATAAGGTCTAGTCCAGTTTATTCTTGCACATCAAAATGCTTCATAAACAGTTCTTCACAACATCTACCCAACAATCTGCAACATCTGACCTGTGAGAAAAAGTCTTGAGGCTAGGATGGTTCTCAGGCTTCCAGCTGCTGTTTGTCCTGGTTCACCCGAACCACAGCCAGAGATCACGACGCCTCACGCTGAGCTCGCTGACTTTGAGGCAGTAAATTCGGTCACTTTGGAAGGTGCTGGTGCGGCTCCCTCATACCTGTCGTTCTGGCCGGGCCATTGCACCTCACCGAGCCTAGCGGGGGCCATGAGGACCCCGGGTTCCTCCGCAGATGGAGGGGGTCAGGAGATGTCAGACGATCAGAGTCTCACTCTGCTGTGAAATACGAGTACTGATGCAAGCCCCTGTGCTCCCTTTTTACCCTTCAAAATCACCCTTAGATCCAACATAAAGAGTTCTTTGAGGTTGTTTTTTTGTGTGTGTGGAAGACTTGAAGATGTGTGGAATCATGTGACCGTGAGAAAAGACCCCAAATGCCTCTGGTTTATGCATGGACCGTCAATCTATTTACCCATTCTCTGCAAATGTTAAGTCGCTTCATGAACAATCACAGGGAATTAATTGCAGGGAAGACCCTGCAACAATTTATGACATTTCAGATTTTTTTGTTTTCTAGGAGAAGCTGTAATCACCAGAGGGAATTTACTTTCACCTCTGTCTTTAAGAACTCTCTCTTTTCTCGCTGCTGAGTGATGTTTATGAAAAACGGCTAAAAACCTGTTTTTGCCCTTCTTTTCCATTGCGCAGGATGTTGTGATGCAACAGCAATCATTAATGTCTCGCGGCAACCGTAGCCTTTTGTTGGGCTTCGCGATCCCCATGGCTCTTACACATCTCCCTGGAAACCAACCCAGCACTGCTTTTGACGTCAACACAACCCAAATTGTGTGTTTTCAACCAGGTTAAAACTTTGAAGTTGGCATCTTTTTGATCCATCTGCCACAAACGTAGAGCTGAAAGGGTTTCCCACTTCTCTCTGCCGTTCCTCGTGCTGTTGGATACCTGCGTTAAGCACCAAGTTGGTCCTTGAACTAGAACTTGAACTTGAACATAATACATTGTGGAGGTTTTCATTATTTTCAAGTTGAAACATAAAATTCTAATATATTAGCAGCATAACAATTTGAATGAAAAGTTGAAAAGTCGAAATTTCTAGTATTGGATTTTTGCTTTGAATTCACCATGATATCAAAAAGGACAATATTTTTATGGAATATTGTTGTGTTCTTTAATCAAAATAACTTCCCCTCACTCTTGCTAAGACAGCTTTCTCTTCTTTGATGACGTGTGACAACCTGTCACTCACATGAGCAGCATGCAGTAGCAAACCACAACGATTCAAATGATCTAATCAATTACACACGGACAAAAGTCTTGCTCTTTTTTTTTCTTTTTCGAAAAGCTGTTTAACTCGGATATACATAACAATAGGGAAGAAAAGACAATCCGTTTCATGCCGACTTTGTGAGAGCTGTGCAGGTAAACCCCTGATCTCAAGAGGCACACTAGCGACTGACGCTACAGACTGTGGTCTTTAGCGTCCTTGTTAGTGCCTGTTTCCCATTCTGGTGACGCCGGTTGAATCCCACAAGTTCACGCTGTAAAATCCAGCATTATTGTTCCAAATGAAAGCAAGTAATGTTCTCATAATGCTTCTTCTCTCAGATATTGTGGCATTGAACTTGTGAAACAACCCTCCCGTGGAGGAGACGTAAATCGTCTGTTGCTTAAAAGAGAAGCATTCTGGATCTATACCCTGGACACTTTAGCTCCAAAAGGGTTGAATGAAGACTTTGACCTGAGGCCATTCCTGTAAATAACCTATGTCATTGAAAAAAAAAATTTTGTAAGTGTTGTGCGATCGTTTTGCTGACTTGATGTATGACATATGTAACACACCATTGTGGTATCCTTTGTATATTTACAGTTCTTGCTCATCTACTATTAGTGTTTACAGTGGTAGAGATACTTTTCCAATAAAACTTTTTAGGCTGTGCTTTAAGCACTGCAGGCCTTTTTTAGCTATCTAATATATTTCTAATAAATGTTTCTGTATTATAAATGTTGGTATATACTTCTTACATATTTTTATCTGCTTTTCTGATGAAATTGCTTTTTCACTTGATTGGTCCTATCATGGATGTATGTGATCATGTGACCATGCATGGCTGTATATATGGAGGTGTGTCTCCCCACTTGTTTATGTCTGATGAAGGGCTTGGGCCCGAAACGTTACACGTGGTGAGCAATTATTAAACTCACTTAGGAGCACTTTCTGGTGTGCGGACTCATTGTTTATTTTTTTCCAAATGAAAGCAAGAACATGACTTTTTGTTCACATTGTCATAAGTTTGCTCATATTTAATACATATTAGTTAACATTCATATTTTAACTGTGGTTTCGAATCTCTTGACCCCGATATAGCTCTTCAGTGATATTATTCTCATCATTAGTTTCAGAAGTTTGTCTGTTGAGGAGGACGTCTGTGAGACTTGCTGAAGTCATGTCAGCAGTATTTTAAAACACTCTCCCAGCTGCTGCAAAATCCAGTGCCTCAGTGGGTGGGCGCCCGGACCATTCTGTCCTCATTTCAAATTGAAATGCGGCAGTTCATATACAGCCAGCTTCGTACAAGCGTAATACATCCATGACCGGACGAGTAACGCTTTTCACAGATGGCGTGTGCATTGTGTTCAGTCACGGTTTGACAAAGGATCTTTTCCATCTATCGACTGAACGTTTCCCTGACAGCATCATTTGGAGACAAATGTGCAATAGATTGAAATGCAGATATGGACAGAAATTAGTTTTTCATTGTAACCCCTGGAACAGGTGACATTTTATTAGAAAAAGTCAATTAGAGCAGTCACTTGCACAATTAGCACTACATTATAATTTAGGCAAATATAAAATTCTGCATTTTTATTCTAAAAATATATCCATATATCATCTATTGCCATACATTATATATATATTAAAATTACATTAAATTGCATATACTGCCAGTGCCATTCAAAAGTTTGGGAGCGGTAAGATTGTTTATTGTTTTTGAAAGAAGTCTCTTATGCTCACCGAGGCTGCATTTATAAAAACTGTAATATTTTATTAGTATTACAACTTAAAATAACTTTTATATATATTTAAAAATTTAATTTATTCCTATAATGTCAAAGTTGAATCTTTAGCAGCCACTACTCCAGTCTTTCAGTCCAGATGAGCCTGTGTTATCTGTTTTTACCAGTTGTTATCAGGGAATAACATACCGCTGGATGGCGCGATTGACCAATCAGAATCAAGTATTCCACAGAGCCGTGTAATAAAAATGTATAATATATATATACATTTTGTATTATCATTTATTTAAATAAGACAGGCTTTTGCCACTTTCAGTGGTAGGACAGATGAGAGATGATAGGAAACTATGGGGAAGTTAGTTCTTTACTGGCATGAGTGCTCTTGCATTAATGATAAACATATCTTTTGCAGTTTTGGATCGTATGGTATGTGACCCGCTGTGCTCTGATGCTGGATGCTGGGGTCCGGGGCCCGACCAGTGCCTGTCCTGTCGGTTCTTTAGCAGGGCACGCACCTGTGTTGAATCCTGCAACCTGCACGAAGGGTAAGTTGTTAAACGCCACACTCAATGCCACTGATAAGTTAAATTGACATGTAATGTAGATATGTATATATAACTCCACAAAACTATATTTGTACAGGACTTGTTTTACTACATGAATCGACAAATCTCAAGAATCATAGGTGTGCTCAAGCTATGTTGTTGGATTATTTGCATACACTTTGCGGTACAGTTTATTAATGTTCGCTTGTAGAAGATGTGTCTTCCTAAGGTTGAACAATAGCTATTTGTTCTACAGGGATTTCACAAAGATTCATGTCTACATCCTCTAGACAAACAATAATAAAACAGCAGAGCAGCACGTCCCCTGGCTTTGGAGAGCAGGTTGCAATGATGAAATGTAAGCTTGGTTGAGCTGGAAAATAAATAACAGTGTTTGGGTGAGCTCTACCTCATATGACGTCTACATCAAATACAGCAGTGTGTGGAGCACCATGACAGAATAAAGAACTAAGTAAAGCCTAGGTTTTGTTTTCACACAGGCACAAAGATTTAAGGCAGATAAACAGACACACACACGTATGAGTGTTTCCATGGGCACTTTTGACCCTGTGTACTTGAAGAAAAGAAACTCTCTTGAAACACACTTTTCAAACTCACTAGTTTATCCTTTCCACGCAATAAAAATGTTATAAGATAATTTTTTCTTGAAATTAATTGATGGTTTAATGATATTAATAAAAGATTAAACAATTTAATAATATATGACATATTTTCATAGTTTACTGTATGTTTTATAGTCTGGATATGTGACAAGGTTAAAATAATAAAATGTCAACTTTAAAGGGATAGTTCATCCAAAAAATAAAGAATAGACTTCTTTTAACACTTAAAATGTGTTTTTGGAAAAATATCCAAAATTAGTAATTAATTTTAAAGTAACTTTTACTAATTAGTCACAAATTTTTTTCAGTGTTGTTTTGGACCACATTGACTTTCATTGTATGTGCACACACAACCAAAAATATAAACTTTTGTGAAGAAAAGTCATATAAGTCTGGAATGACATGAATGACAAGAACAAAGAAATTTGGATGCACTACCCTTTTAAAAGCATTTTAAAAGTAGGAAAAATAAAGGTGCAGTAAAATATTTCCCAAGACAAATGGCCTTCATTTAACTATTTTTTTTTTTTTTTTTTGATTTAATAAAAGCACAAATACTGTACATATACTGTGTTTGGCTAGTCACACATTAAAGTAGAGTGGGTGGATATGTAGGGCACATGAAATTGTAATGTGTGCCAAAACACTCTAGAAAACATATTTTGTGTAGTAAATCTGTGTATTTTCTTGTCGTCCTTTCTTGTTTCTTGTGCAGCCAGTAATAGAATCAAGAAACTTTACTGCCGTACCATGAGAGCAGCAGGCGTAATGATATGACGCAGCGCCTGAAAATAGGCTACCTTCCGTCAACACAACGGAACTATTTTCAGGCGCTGCGTCATATCATTACGTATGAATGAAGCTCCACAAGTCGAAAAACATCCGCTGATGTAATTGCCGGTAGATTCTTCAGGGAAGTTGTGAAGAGTAACGTTAGCGCTCCTGACTCCATTTCACCGGAAGTCGCTTTACACAACAAACGCTGAACCGGATGTGCGTTCTAACTTCCGTGAAAAAGGCCTATTATTACGCAGGAATGAGAGTATAGTTCCTAGCCATATCAGCCTAGAAAATCGCAACTTTACATTTTCCGTCGGTCTTAGTGCACGATGTAACTACAGAAGAGTCAAGTTTTAAATAGGAAAAATATCGAAACTCTTTGGTCATTTTTTTTTTTGAGAAATGCTAATGGTCTTGTCCACTTCAATGATGTATGCTAAGCTATGCTAAAAGTGGTACCGCGAGAACCGGAGATCGGCTGAATGGATTCAAAAACGGTAAAACTCAACAGTTTAACTCTGGGGGAGTTGTAAATTGAGCCTATTTCCCAAAAAAGTGGAGTATCCCTTTAATATTTGATAACACTTTATTTTGATGGTCCTCCAACAGACATTCCACTGACTATAAGTAACTTTGCAACTACATTTCAACTTATTCTAATCCTAACCTAACAGTCTAACGTTACTAATATCTAATGAGAACTTAGTTGACATGTAGTTGCAAATTAATGAGAGTTTGTTGGCATGTAGTTGCAAATTAATGAGAGTTTGTTGACATGTAGTTGCAAAGTTAAGTTACTTATTGTTAGTATAATGTCTAAAGTGAACTGTCGAAATAAAGTGTAACCAGACATTTTATTTATTGTCTCTGTGTTATTTCATGGTACCCTGTGTCTTTATCTCATCAAACTCCTAAACAACCCAAGGAAAAATGAATCATTTTGTTTGCCATGGCACTGTAGATTAGAAAGTACTTTGCTGTTGATGTTCTCGTTATGCTGCTTAACTAACTTAACCAGCCAGGCTCCCTTGGTAAACCGCCTTTACCAATACCAAACCAGCACAAAAATCTTTTTGATAGTGAGTGTCTGTCTAATTCCTCAAAAAATTGTTTTGACATTAAGCTCCTTCTCTTGGTTAACACATTTGGAATAAGTGAACAATAAAGGTGTTAATCAGAGCAGTGAAGAGAGTAAATTACAGATTGGTTTTGAGTTCCCTCTTTATTTGTTGTGTGCTTACGAACTGCTCAAAGGGAAAGATGAATATCAGCTTTTGATTGATTTGACTGAGTGAAGCAGCTAAATTTAATTTCTCCCTTGCCCAGAGCTAAAACAAGGCAATAAACAAACAACATTCATTTTCGCATTCTAAAACAACAGTCATTTGCCATTTTGAGACGGCCCGTCGTCGTCCTTTGAGTGTTTAGGACTAGGACTGTCATGGATGGGTGCACTGTATTTTATATAAATGCCACATCCATGTTGGTTTTGCATTGATAGTGAATCAGCACCAGGGCTCGTGCACCCTGCGATCGTCCCACATGATTCTTTTGCCTTGCAGACTGGCCGGCTCTAGGCCCAAGCTGCTCACCAGGCCCTATGTGGTCGAGAAACGGGAGGCAGGTTTGGAGAGGTACAGCACGGACACGGATGCATCACTGTCTCGCACTGTCACGTCCACCTACTCACCCGTCCCACACGAGTCACCCAGTGCTCCGCTGTTTTTGTGTGTGTGTGTGTTTGTGTTTTGATTTGCAGGGTGATCTCAATGTTTTCTCTGTCTCTCCTCTGGTTGTCGGCCTCTGCGGTCTCACTCGCTGTTCACACAAGATGATTCACTCAGTATTAGGGAACAGACAGCTAAAAAATGAAAATACCCTCTGTGGTGTTTGAGCTCTAAATGAAAGATTTTGAAGATGATTAGGACCGCTTTTGTTGTGTGGTTTGCTGGAAGCAAGCAGAATGTTTTGTGCTTTTTTACAGCTGGTATTGACATTCATTTCAGATGATTGTTTAACAAGTGGCTAGTGTTAAATACGGATATCAGAAAACAGTCCAAAAGGCTTTCTGGTTCAGTTTTCAGTGTCTGACACTATTAGGGAGGGAGGAAATGTAATTTATTTATTTATTGAAATAAATTAATATCCCCTTCACCAATGATGCATTTAATTGATCAAATATGACAGTGAAGGCTTTTATAATGTTACAAAATATTTCTATTTCACATGCTGTTCTTTTGAAATTTCTATTAATCAAAAGAATTGATTAACATTGATGATAACAATAAGAAATGTTTCCTGAGCTTCAAATCAGAATATTGGAATGATTTCTGGGAGATCATGTGACACTAAAGACTGGAGTAATGACGGCTGAAAATTCAGCTTTGCATCAGAGGATCAATTATACGTTTTAAAATATATTAAAATAGAAAACAGTTTTAAATTGTAGTAAAATTTCAAAATAATATTACTGTTTTACTGTATTTTTGATTAAATAAATGCAGCCTTGGTGAGCATAAGAGACTTGTGAAAAACGCCTGTAAATCACACACCTGCAGTTGTTTATGAATCTACAAAATTCAGCCAAGTCATGTTTCACATTAGACATCAAATGGAGATACAGAAACAAACATGTTTTGCATTTTTCTAGCAGTAGCATTCATATATTTCATGTTCGATTTTAAGTGCATATTTGTTTACTTTTGAATGGTAAACCATTTTGTTTCTGTATTGGGTCTCCACTTGATGTCCAATGTCAAAATGTGTGTCCTAAAGAAGCAAACAAAGTTGTGAACAAAGAGAACACAGAGTGAACCAGGAAAAATGCTGAGCCTGTGAAGTTAACGTTCACATAAAGGGAGAAAGAGAAGTCCTTTAATGATAAAGGGGTCTTCTAAAAGCTTCCTCACAGTCTACACAAAATGTCCTGTGCCTTTTAGATAAAGAATAATTCATTCTCATTTAATGTAACACTCATTGACATAGCACGTCAATCATAAAAAAAAATATTTTAAATATTTTTCTCCCTCACTGAGCTGCCGTCCTCCACATGTCACGGCAACGGATGTCAGCTTCTAAAATGTCACTACCGTCTTCAGACTAGTGATGGAACCAGGAAGCGACTGTGTTTGCCTGTATTGAACCGCTTTGTGATCATTTGTTTCAGAGGTCCCTGGCTGATTTCCTCCGTGTGGTGCTTTGAGGTGTCCCTGAATGTGCTTGATGAATTGTCACCTCGATAGGTGGTGAAGGCTGACTGTTTACTTTTGGTCAATAGTAACTGTGTTTGCCAGCTGTGGCAGCTGTCTGAGAAGTGCTGTAAACACCTGGCGGATGTGTTGGATTCCACTGTTGCCTCCCTACGGCCTTGTGCCTCAGGCACTGAATTCCCTTCGGCTGCTCTTTCACAATCTACCTGTGTTTGTGTGTGTGTGGATGTGCGTGCATGTGATGACTCTTCTTTTACTGCCTGTGATTCAGCCTTTCCTCATTCAGATCTTGAAATCTGAAGTGTACATAAAGACCTAATATCTAGTCTGAAATTGGAGAGTTGTCTTTACTTTAAAAGGCTAGTGATTGAATCATCTAGATTAGTGGTTCTCAACGGGGGCGTTCAGAGAACAACGGGGGGCGTTAGACGCAAGAGTCTTGAAAGGGGGGCGTTCAGGTGTTAATGGGGGGCGTTCACGAGTAACGGAAATTTGTGTTCATTTACTGTGATTCATTTTAAGCATTTAGTAATTTATTTGTAATAAACACTTTAAGTGGGCTATTAAAAAAGTGTTAGGACCATATATGTTAAATTATGTTGTAAAACATATGCGTAGATTGTGATGTCATATTGTGTGTGCGCGCACGCCTATGGTGCGCGTGAAAGAAAACGTCAGCAGCGCTCAAATAAAAAAAAGAAAATCATTCGTCCGCGGCCGTTCTAGCCTACTCCTGACCGCAAGTCCACCGTCAGTATACTAGCAGGTTTTTTGTGTTCATTTCTATTGCATTACGATTGAAAGCAGTATCAATAATGTCAAAAATAATGTGCAGTCAAGTTCGGGTGTGAATGCTGTTTAAATGAGTGTTCTCACCGACACGCTTGTTGTGATTCTTCTTCCAGTTTAATGTACATGTAGCCTAAGCTATGTATCGTTACTTTTGCAACGACTATATTATTTTTCCAGTTATAGACCAGCGCTCTGACTAGAATCCAGCGCTGGCTAGAATCTGCATTCACGCGCACAAACATGTGTTTCGCACAGACAACAATCCAGCGCTGGCTAGAGTCACGCAGCGGAGGAATGGAAAGTTGACATGCCATTAAAAACTATTGACTTAAGTATTGAAACACTTCTATTTTTTCAAATATTTTCAATAAATCATGTTCCCATTTACTCCGGCGACGAATTTCAAAATTAAACTAAATTCTATTTATAAGGTAAAACTTTAAATTTTTTAGGCATTAACTAATTCCAATGCCTAATGCCAAAATGTTTTCTTTGTTCACCAAGTAATTTACTGGTCAGGCATTATTGTTAACTCAATTTGAAAATGACAATTTGATGGATAATTTTTATATTATATTAATATTTAAATATATTCTGCAATCACATTTTGGTAATGTAGGCTATTCATTCCGCCATCACATCTGAGAGCGAAACGCTGCTTGGGTAACGTTAGTTTCAAGATATAAAAACAAATAATAATACAATAATAATTGAATTGTTCGTGTGTTTATTCTTGTTAGAAGATTTTTCTTTTTACTGATTATGAAAACAAATTAATCACGACAAACCAAATTAATTGTAATTGTATTAATTATACCTGATACCAAGGTATTTTAGGCCTACAATTTTAACATAATTTTTCATGAAAAATCATGATTGTATATTTATTTTTAAGTAAGGTTAATGAAAGCAGCTTCTTGCAATACTCTCCTAAATGCTAATAAAACCTACGTGCAAACATTACCGCTTTAATGACTGTCCTTTATTTTTCAGTGCATTTGTTTTATAATATATGGCTATTTATGTCATGGGATTAATATAATATAACTATTATTATGTAGTAGTGTAATTTAGACAAACACAACTAAAAGAGGTTTGAATTTTTCTTTGTTTAATTTGCACACTGAATATGGGTTGGAGCTTTTAATTTTGAACTCTCAAAGTGCACCAGATTGATGCATTTAACATTAAAATGCACACATTTTTCTTACGGGGGGGCTTGCCCCCCGAACCCCCCTAGAAGGCCCGAGGTTCACCCACCACAGATTTACCAAAAATCCTGTGAGAAACACTGCTATTGCTATTCAATGCAGTTTATAGCTTGTTTTTTGGATTAATCGCTGTGGAGTATAGTTCGATTGTATTAATAAATGACAATTTTGTACTTATTTCATCTGTTACTCGTTCCTGCTCGCTCATTAGTTTGGGGGTGGGGGGTGGTCGGGGACCTGGATATTGGATAGGGGGCGCTGGCCCAAAAAAGGTTGAGAACCACTGATCTAGATCCTTGACCTTGAGCAGGAATTCCTAGAAGAACTTTGACGATTGACGTGCTATTATTCCCATCTGAAACTTGAATGCTCTTGAACGGTCATTAAATGTCATTGTAGTGTGTTATGTTACCTCATATTTTTCTCTTTCTCTTTTATAGGGATGTGCGTGAGTTCGCAAATGGTTCAGTGTGCCTGGAGTGTGACGCGCAGTGTGAGGTGGCAGATGATGACGGTCTTACCTGCACTGGGCCTGTGAGTTCAGTCATATTTATCTCCAGCTACACTTAGAAAATAATAAGCCAATAATATCAGTCTTTAAAAACAACAACATTAGCACAACTGTACAATTTTAATTGACATGGTGTTTTAGACATTCTTTTTTTCTGATTATAAACAACTTTATTTTTTTTTAAAGAAATGAATACTTTTATTCAGCAAGGACATATTAAATTGATCAAAAGTGACAGTGAAGCCTTTTATAATGTTACAAAAGATATTGAATAAATGCTGTTCTTTTGATCCTTCTCATCAAAGAATCCGGAAAAAAAATGATCACAGTTTCCACAACAATATTAAGCAGCATGACTGTTTTCAACATTGATAATAATGAGAAATGTTTCTTAAGCACCAAATCAGCATATTAGAAAGATTTCTGAAGGATCATGTGACACTAAAGACTCCGTCAGTAATTCAGCTTTGCATCACAGGAATACATTGCATTTTAAACATAGAAATAGAAATAGCTATATTAATATTTCACAAAATATAAATTTTTTTACAGTATTTTTCATCAAATAAAAGCTGCCTTGGTGAATATGAGAGGCTTCTTTCATAAATATTTGAAGGGGTGATATAATGCCCTTTTCATAAGATGTAAAATAAGTCTCTGATGTCCCCAGAGTGTGTATGTGAAGATTTAGCTCAAAATACCCCACAGATATTTTTATATAGCATGTTAAAAATGTCACTTTTTTGAGGGTGAGCAAAAACGCACCATTTTTGTGTCTGTCCCTTTAAATGCAAATGAGCTGCTGCTGCCGCACAGAGAGCGGAGCAACAACAGCTTGTGTCCTTTTACCTCACACAGAAATGCACTGAAATTTTCAAAAACGTTTAGTTTTTTATGCTCAAACCGGAGTCAGACAATGATGGAGAGACTCAAGAAGAAGTGACAACATGTAGAATGCAACAGGACATTTCTAAATGGTTAGTTGATGCATTTATGTAGCTAATGTATAGTAGTTATCTTCTAATCATTGATTAGCATATTAGCATATACTGTCTTGATAATCTCTAAATCGCGTTCCTGAGGGCGAGTGTATGAAAATTTTAGGGTTGGTGATGTCACTAAGCCGGGAGGAATGTCATGTAGTCCCTACCAGCCGTTTGTTGTAGTCCTTAAAAAGTTATTTCTTTAAAAGAAAATATCTTCCTTTGCTTTGAACTTTGAGCGTTGTAACTTTGCAGATGTTGTTTATGCTCAAACAGCAACATTACACACTAACTAAAGTTAGAAAAGTGAGATCATAATCAACCACCCCTTTAGAAAAATCTTAACAACCCTAAACTTTTGAAAGGTAGCTTTAACGTCATAAATATAATGAATAATCAGCGCAATCAGTCTGATCAAAAGTATTTTAAAGTACTTTTTCACATTTTTATTTTTATTTATATTTTTATTTACAGTGTTATATATAAGTGTTTTCTTTCTTAGCCACTGATTTAGACCAGCCTCTCGCATAAACCCCCCCTTCAAAGGCATATGTCATAGTGATTGACAGGCAATGAGTGTTTCTGATTGGCCAATCCCCTGAATCCTCCTTTGCTCTTTGCAGAGTATAGAACTGTCACATTTACCCCTTTTCCACCAAAGCATTTTGAGAGCCGGTTCGGAGCCGGTGCCTACTCGCAAACCAGTTCTTTGTGTTTCGACAGCCAAAGAACCAGTTCTCGGCCAGGAAAATTGGTTCCAAAGCGGCACCAACTCTTTGGTGGACTAGAACCGTTCTTTTACCACGTCATGCTTACGTCGGGCTAAGACGTATGGCGACGTACACAGTGACGTAACGACGTCGTTCGCTGGGCTCTCTAGTCAGTGGAAAAACATACAGGTTCTGAGAAGGTTCACAAGTTGAACCAACTTTCCACCTTTTTTGGTGGAAACGAGGCAAAAGACAACCTGCCTGTGTCAAGTGAATTTAGATAAATTACCGACCATCATTATTTCTTACTGGCAACCAGGGGCGTCACTAGGATTTTCATTTTAGGGGGGCTAAGCCCCCAATATGATAAAAAAAAAAAAAAAAAAAAAAATGTAACACTTTAGTTTAGGATCTAAAGATCACTATTAACCATTTTCATTACGATGCAAAGGCACGGTTTTATAATAACTGTGGTCCCTAATGTGAGGTAGGGCAAATAAGGGGGTTCCGGGTCTCCCCGAGAAAATTTTGATTTCTCTGATCTACATATGTGCATTTTAAGATGTTCTGAAGGCCAAAAAACTTGGATAGTGGGCAGCTGATTATTTTTCTCTCCTCATCAGCATCACACTCTTTTTCTCTTTGTTTTTATCTTGCCCTGTCTCTTCCCCTCCTAAAGCTGAGCTTTGACTGATATAGGCTTTTCATTTTTGTCTGTCAGTGAAGAAAGTAAACATAGGGTCAATTGATAGGTTGATTTCGCCTATGAATCATTTTCTCAGACGCGTTTATTTACTGAAAGCTACTAAAGGTAATTAAGTTTATTAAATGCATTCACAATATGTAGGCTACACATTTATTATTGATCTTATGCCTAACACAGGGCCGTAGACAGGGCTTTAGTCACAGAGGTCCTAAATTTGAGGTTGGTAGGGGGTTCAAATTTTTTATTTCTCTGATATGTGCATTTCAAGACGTTTGAAGACCAAAAAAGGATAAGAAATAGCTTTAAAACCATGTCAGTGGGCAGATTATTTGTCAATACCTGCTCTCTTCTCATCTCCATCACTCTTTCTTTTTTTCTCAGTCTCTTCGTCCCTTTCTCTTCCCCTCCTAAAGCTGAGCTTTTTTAATTTACTAAAGGCTACAATTTGTATTATATCCTCAATATGTACACATTCATTATTAATCTTGTGCCTAACATGATGAAAACGGCTTTGTTAATGTTTCTTGTAAACTAATTATTACATTACATGAGTCACGTTACAGCCTATTTTCAGTTCAAAATGGCGAAATTAGACAAAACTATATTAGTTTGCCTGATTATTTTTTGTCATTCGTTTAACATTTATGACCTAAAAAAAGTAAAATATGAAATGTTAAGTTTAGCTACTTACATCTTATCTCGCACTTGACCGTACGCGTCGAGTCGCACTGTTAAAATTCGCGCTCAGCTTCTGTGAACATAAAGCCTGCCTACTTTGATTTGATTGGTCATCTCAAATATTCTGACATTGACGAGCAGTGACAGACCAATGAGGCTCAGATGAACACACATGAACACACACACACACACCCTGTCCTCTGTTTCTGACGTGCTCTCTGCTCGGCGCCGCTGCGGATTGAAGATGAAGAACGCGCTGAATCTGATTATAACAAGACTGAAGCGAACACGAATTTGTGTAGCCTACATTAATCTCACATTTTTAGGGGGGCTAGGCAGAAGTTTAGGGGGGCTGAAGCCCCCCTAAAAAGGGCCTAGTGACGCCCCTGCTGGCAACTTTATTTTGCATTATTTAAAAAAAAAAAAAAGCAAAATCTGTATTGTTATTCTTATGGCAAATTAATTATTTAGCTGATTTTCTCTTTCTGATATTCAGGACAGTCTAATATTGTGTTCCTTATATTTTAATTTTATGTTTTGGTGGCATAATTTTAAAATATCTGTACAGTAAAGAAAAGGGCTTTTTGGTGACCAGTTGAATCTTTCTTATATGATTCTTTCATGTATTTTTTTTTTTTCGCGTCAGATTAATCATTAATCATTAAAGTGCAGTATAAATTCCTCATTTAATTTCATTATTTTACTGAGATTTTGCAAGGTCATTCACCAAAGATGCTTTTTCTTGCATTCGGTGCTTGGTGATTGTTAATTTTGGATTCTGTGTGCATGTTTCTTTCATTTCAATGCAATCTCTTTCAATATATATTAGCTTAAAGCACAAACAGAGCTGAACAGCAGACACCGCCTTCGATTGGCTTGGTCAAATGATTAATTGAATCCCTTGTCGAAGTGTACTTTTGCTGCCGTGGGATTGATTTTACTTCTTGTTAATTTAGTGAGAAAGTAGATTAAGTTGCCTAAGCTTGGCAAGTGTTTACAGAGAGTCCTGCCCCATAGAAAACAACTGAGAGTGGGATGAATAAGCTGTTTGGATGTCCATGAATCTGATCAGGTTAGAGACATTACCACAGATGGGCTGTGTGCTCAGCGCTGCCCCTTTTTCAAAACAGCCTCAAGCACTTTGGTTTAAATTGATGACTACATGACAAGATGCGTACGGCCGTGTGCTTGTGTGTGTTGGCGAAAGAGGATTTAGCCGATCCGTCTCTAAAGCTCAGAGGCCTCGGGCTGTTGTCTGCTTGAGTCAAACAGAAAGGTCTCGCAAATGACGCGATCATGAGCCCTCCGAGACCCATACCAGCACAAACATAGACAGAAAAAAACTCTAAAACTGAGTGCGTGTCCTGACTTTTTTTTTTCTTCTTTTTTTTTAAACCTGTCCCTGGAAATTTAGATGATAAATATTCCTCTTTCATGTGGTTTTTGCCTGATCAAAGCCTGTTTATCTGTTCAGTTCAGTCAATGTGCCATGTCGATGTGAGTATGTGTACATGTTAGTAATTGTTATGAAGGCATTTTGCAGTGTAAAATTATTGACAGCTAAGCAAATCTCCTTGTAGCCCTTGTGTCATATGTAATCTAAAAAAAATATGTATTGAAAGATATTTGTTGTTCTGCTCTTAATTATTTATTTTTAATAAAAGTCATATGTGGTAAAAAAAAAAACTTCATTACAGTAATGGGAATATTATGAGAATTGCTTTTGAGAATTATAATAATAATTGTATAGTAACATCCAGACGAAAAACTTCACATTCCTAAAATAGACCATTGGAGACAATTCATACTTTGCACGTGACGTCACAAGTACTGGCTGGCGGGCAAGAACGTCGTTCTCCAGCAACGAAACCCAGTAAACTAATCAAGGATCTTGCCAGGACGTCGCCAGGTTTACTATACAAAAGTTGGTGTTTTGAGGTTTGTGATTTCAATGGTTTTCAATGAGAACCAGAGATGACCCAACAGTAGAGCTAGATATTATTTACGGAGGAATTATTACTGCTCGATTATCTTAAAAAACCTTGTCTGCTTTACACAATTTAGCTACCTTGGAGTTAATCCTATTTCTAGTCCATAGTTATGCAGCTAGCTCGCTAACAGACTTGATAGCTACTAAAAGACCCATAAGACCTGGAACTACAGGACTCTACGTTGAAAATACCCGTTTGTTGCCCGCCAGGTATCCATGGTAGTCACGTGACTGCAAAGTATGAATATGCAAATAATAGACACACTAAAGTGATCACCAAGTGATCCAACTGACTTTCTCCAATAAGGACTTTACACACCCATAAGCGTCTGAGGTGATGCAAGGCTTAGCTAAGCTGTTAAAATGTTTGTTGTTATTAGTGCAGATTAACTGCTGAGTGGTCTAACCTACCTGTGAAGCAATCAGCAACATCTGCTTCACAAAGGCATAATTAAACAACACTAACAAACAGTGTTTTGTGTGTGGAGAGGAAATGGAGATGTGTGTGCAGCAGGTGTCTGGAGAAGCAGCACAATTAACAGAAAAAGTGATGATGCTTTCTAGGTAACCTAGCCTTGGAGGAGTTTTACATACACCTTTATCTCTGTGCTATGCTACGGATGGCCCAATGCAGGAATTAACATTCAGTGTTTCCCCTAGGATTTTTTTTCGGGGGGGGGGGGGGGACTGCTAGTGTTGCGGAGCGGGCGTGTTACGGATACGTGGTGTAAATTTTTTAGCAATCAAAAAGCATGTCTAATTAATTGAAATAGTGTATTATGAATCATTAAACGTACAACATTTAAAAAAAAAAAATATGAAAAATTCTGTTTTGTTTTTTTCTGGTAATAAAATGAAGACATAAAAGACAAATTTTATCATTTATCATCAATTTTAATCATATGAAATTAAATAAACTTTTTGTCAAATAACGTGCTGCACAATGAGCTTCACTGTTAAAATTAAAACATGGATTATTCCTTAAATTCAGTTTTGATGATCATTTATTTGGATTAGTGTTAGTATTATTACATTGGGACATATCTAAATTCTACTGTACAACGGTAATATATTTCTGTCAAGTTAAACCGAACTTTTATTTTGACGGGTTGTCGTGAAGACCTTTTGAGTTTGTGTGTTTATGTCATAATGATAGTTTTTCTCAAATGAAGCGGTTAAATGATCACGAAATGACTTTCGGAGTGGATCTAGAGCCTGGAGAGGAAGTTTATGCATTTGTGTCTTATAGGCAAAAAAACAGCGCAAGCGTCACACGTGCTTCAGTGTGTGTGTGTGTGTGGTAAATGAAACTGCGCGTCGGCTGCACCATTCAACACAGAACAAGCAGGATTCGTATTTAAATTGTCTTTGTGGTTTAATATCCACACACACTTGTCTACATCGCGATTTGATTTCAAGTTTATACTGAACTGCTTTCTATTTATTCCTCAAAAGATTGACAAATTCCATGAAATTCCGCGTTATACAGTAAATTTCTTTTTTATGACTGGATTTCGTCAGCAATTTAGGGGGGGCGGGGGGTCGTTTTGGGTAGAACAATGGTAGGGGAAACACTGACATTGACTCGCTGGGCCATCGTATTTCTTTCTCTCTTTTTTACTTACCAAGGAAGACAGTAAGCTTTTTCAGAGCTATATAACAAAATGATGAGTAAACCAGCTAAATGAGGAGGCATTTGGTAAGCTTTATAGCAGCCTACAATGCATGCAAACTAAATTGGACAGTCAACATTCGCAATTAAAACTTCATCAGAAACAATACTAATTTACTTCCGCCGGGTTTCTTTAATTAACATGCCCCCAAACTCAATGATTATCCAGAGTTTCCCCACTGGTAATTATGACATTCTGGTGACATTCATGCACGCTATTCTCATAGCCATGATCATTTTGATAAGACTTGAAGGTAAAATGAATTCAATAGATTTATTAACATATTAAATTAATAATGCAATGCTGAATAGAGCAGCATGCTAGTCATGTAGTTGGGGTTGAGTGTTAATTTGTTTATTTAGTTTTTAGCCTTTTGTCACTTAATAGCAATAGTAGAGGGTAGATGAGAAATGATGGGGATAGTTGACCCAAATATTTAACTTTTATCACCATCATTCTTATGTTATTCCAAACCAGTACGACTTTTTCTTCTGTGGAACCCAAACGAAGAGACAGTATTTTGTGAAATGTCTTTTTTGTCTATACAGTGAAAGTCAAAGGAGTCCAGTGTAATTTAGGACCCCATTGACTTTCATTATATGGACAAAAACATTCTTCCAAATGTCTTCTTTTTTTTTTTTTCCTGTTTTAATATATTTTGAAATGCAATATATTCCTGTGATGGCGAAGCGGTATTTTAAGCACTCATTACTCCTGTCTTTTTCTTTCAGAAATAATTTTAATATTCTGATTTGTTGCTTAAGAAACATTTCTTATTATCATCAAAGTTGATGTTTTGTGGAATTGAGAGTTAGAGTCAGAGTTAGAACAGCATCGAAATAGAAATCTTTTCTAAC